GATGAGCTCTGCTGCAACATGCTTATTGAACCGAGTGAACACAACCGAATTATGCAATGCTTCACGGAACCTTTTCCCCCGACCCCCTTCAAAACAGTGCGACACATACTTGGCGAGCACATCACCATCGGTAGTGTCGATGCGAGACACAGAGGCAATAAAAGCACTACGCCATTCCCGGCATGTGGTGGAGTCAACAGGCAACTTTGTAACTTTAACAAGCTTCAAGTTCTTTTCCTTGTAAACCCCATCTTCATTACCGGAATATACGTCCCAGGCCCCATGCACTGTTCCCTGATTGGATACAGAAGCGGAACTACTGGGTGGCTTCCTACCCTTGCTCCCTCGCACATCACTGTCACTGCTTGAGCTGGATTCGGGTCCGGAACTAGAGTCATGCACACTTTCGTCCCCGTCATCATCGGCAAACCCTCCATACCGGGTCCACGCCCGAAGATTTTGTGACCTTTGCCGAACCCCCGTCCGTGGCCTCCCCGCGCCGTACGGCAGCGGGGTCGCGCCTTGCGGCTGCATCGCGCCTTCCGGCAGCGTGAGCACCACGTCCTGAGGTGGATGACTGACCAGCATGTGCACTTGAGTCCGCGTCATTATGGCTTCCGGCAAGGAGGTCATACTTAGGGCTCACAGCAGGGGTGCCCCTGGAACCTTGTTCTGGAACACGATTCCTTTGCACCGACTCATTGAGACTTTGGATGAGAACCTCTGCTTGTGCAAGCTTTTCTGACAACTCCCTGATCGCATGATCTCTTTGCTCAATCTCTTGCCTCGCAACGTTTAGGCTTTGCTCCCGATCGCGAAGGGCATGATCCGCACTATTTAGCATCTGATCCCTCACACCTATTTCATGGGCAGCATGGTTCTGTGCTTGATGAATGGAGGCATCCCTGTCTTGCTGAGCACTGTGAATCACACTGAATGCTTCCTGCCTCAAAGATTCACGTTGTGCTGTCAAGGCTGCTTCCACCCTAGCATTAACAAGTGCCTCGATCTGATCGGGGTCATATGTCAACACTGCTGTCTGGTTAAGCACATTTTGCTGATACGTCCTACCGTCGTTGAAGGTGGCTTCCACGGTATTATGCTGTTGCGGGGCGTTCAAAACATTGGTCTGAGAAACACCAAGCATACATCTGCCCAGTAGGCGATGGGGTCAACTGCAACGAATCACGATTTGGATCATTTCCTTGGCTCGGAGTCAATTGCAACGCGACATGATTGGGATCATCCTGCATGAGGCCACTAGAATCTGAACTGGAAGGCTGACTTGGAGATGCACCTATGGGAGTTGCTGACATCCCTGCACGAATGTCCCTCCGGCTATCTCGAGACCGATCGGACATCTTTTCACTTTCCCACGGATCTACTGGCTTGCCTGTGACCACAGCTCCTTCCTCTGTGATGGCTTCGGATGCGTGTTGCTACACTGCTGATGCGAAAGCTTCCGTGTCAGGACCTTAATCTGCAACTCCACGTCCTTTGAAGTGGCTACAAGAACACCCCACGGCGCAGCTTCTGCTGGAAGTCCGGCCTGTTCCCACCTCCCTTTCAATTCAGAAAGGATGGTCTCCTGATCGTCAATCAGGCACAGGCCGCCAGAATCCAAAAACTGCTGAGCCTTGGTTCTCGTGTCCACCCCCTTACGTGTGATAGCAGAATATTGCCAGGATTTTTGCCTTGAGAAATGAACCTCAAGATCAGCAACTGGTGATGCCGCAATCTTGTCCCTGGTATCTCTCAATCGAGTGTCTGAACCGACAAAGGAGAATATGTGCACGGCTGCGACCCGCTGCAAGGCTTTGACGGCGTTTGCGATCTCAGGGGAGACCTCGTTGTCTCGCTCCAAAGTCTGATGCCAATCGATGCCAACTAGGGGCCGCTCGCCTCTGCGTCTGTCGTCTCCGGCGCCTCGGTCGGTAGATACGTCGCCTGGCCAGTTTTTGCCAACGCACGTTCCTTCTGCTGCAGAAAAAATCTGTGGTACTTGTGTCCTGGATGCAGGAAACTGTACGCTGTCCGATCCTGTTTTCTATATACTTCCCACTGCCAATCGTCACCGTGTTCTGCAGCACTCTGGGCAATGCTCTCAATGAAGCCTCTGATCTACCGGTGGCTCGGGCACAAAACCGCCCGTCGAGCGCTTCGGTGCTGGTGTCGATGAAGCTGATGCCGGCTCCGGTACAGGCTTCCTGGTCGAATGACTCGCCTCTGTCTCAGCTGTGAGTTCTCTGGCCGACCCGATATTCAAGCACTCCAAAAAGTACCAGTGATATTCGTTCTCCGGCAACAGAAAACCAAACTTCTGTGGATCCTGTTCCTTTCGAATCTGCCGAATATAATTGGGTCGCTGCTCCTCAGAAACACGCAGGACAAACAGCGCTGTCTTTTCGATGACTCCACGAACGCCTTCTGGTATCGGATGTGGTGCCCGGCTCGTAGAAGATCCCGCCTGGTCTTCCGCCTTCACCCCCTGATCAGATTCTTCGATCTCTACCTCCTCCTGATCAGATTCCTCGATCTCTACCACCTCCTCCTCTTCCCAAACAGCTGGCTCTGGAGGTGCGCGTCTGGACTCCGTTTGTCGCCAAGGCGCTGTCCTGATAGCTATGTCTGAGTCCCGAGGAGCGATGTCGATCGATGGCCCACGATGTGATGCTGCAGACGTCCGCGGCCTGCTCTGCGTTTGCTGCGATGGACGATTCGGGTTCCCGGCCCTTTTGCCTCTCGTCCTAGGCAACCCGTTTTCCCGGAAACGCTTGTCGCGCTGCTCCTCCGATTGCATATAAATCGGGGATCCCCAAGAGCTCGTCGACTATACCCAATGCCCCCAAGTGCTGCTCACTCAAGATCAAGTAGTCGCTCCAAGCTGCAAGTGGTTGTACTTTTCCTGAAGCTCGTCAACTGAACCCAATAAAACCAGGTGCGCCTGCTGCTGTTCACCCAATATCAAGTTGTCGACCCAAGCTGCAAGGAATAAGCCGTTGCGATACGGCTGATAACCAAAAGAATCCGCCGCCTGAACCCAGTTGTGCAATCCGTGCAAGCAACTGTCAAGTGACAGATTCCAGTGTATGCTATGGCAACCGCAAACAGGAACACTTAAGGGATTCGACCCGCCCCCGCCCACGGACTTTTGCCTTGAGCCAAATGTAAGGATGCAAACAGTTCAGGCTAGGAATGGAAACCTATGGCACTGCGATTCCGGGGCACATGATCACACTGTAGAGTATGGTCCAAATGACCATTTGAGTTGATGTTATTCTTCTTCTACAGGGACCAGCCAGGGTACCCCAACCATCCCTAAAGCAACCAAAGGTGCGGTATGTCCATCTGGGGTTTGCAAGTACCAGAGATTGTTTCGAGGCTCCCAAACGCCTGAAGGCTTTGTTGCAAATCTGGCGTCAACCAAAGCTGGGATCTGGTGGTAAACAAGTTCACGGGAAACTCTTCACCTAGGTCCTCCAGTAGAAGGGTTAGAATAAGTTTGTATCAACTTTTTTTCTGTAGTAATTTTAGTAGGTTTGAACCCGCCCCTAAAAAGAAACGGTACAGCCAGGCCCTTGTGGGGAAGCGGGGCATGTCAACTTGTGTCCAACCTTTTGGGAGGGGCCAAAGCGGCAGTCAAAAGAAGGAGTTCCTCAAAATGGGTGAATGGGGGGTCAATCTTTAGAGCCATGGTTCTTACAGGGTTTCCAGTTTAAGCTGCTCAAGGTCTCCCTCACTCCAAGAAAGTTCAACTGGACTTACTTCGAGAAGGTCCAAGGCCAATTTCAGTGGCCAAGAAGAGGCAAGCCCGGGGACTTGTTTTTGACCAATTTAGGCCAATGAGTCGCATAGTTCCAAGGTTTGATTCCCCACTTCACCCATCGTTCTCTTTCAGAAACCATTTTCCGGGGGGTTGGTCCATGTTGTGAAGAGAAGGATGGGAGGGTACAGCTAGCATAGTGTCAACAGGCAAACTGACAAACCCAAGGTACGAACTACTGGGCCAAGCCCTTGGTACAATGTTTGGCCCCTTGTTGAAACAATATCCGTGACAAGGTCCTGGCTTTAGCAACTATTTGAACCTAAAAGATGCGCAGCCCTAGTTCCATCCTCCGAATTTTGAACGGGAACCTCCTGCAAAAATGGTTTGAATAATCCACTGGATGGGAGGGTATTCCACCACAGGTGCGAAAAAGGAATTTGGACCCCGAAACCCAGCTGGCTGTCAGCCGCCCAAAGAATCAACCCCATAGCATTCCTGTAATTCAAAGGTGGCTGGTGATGGGAAGCCTCCATATAGCTTTTTGTGTTGGTAAGTAGGTAACTGGTAATCCCTTCATGTACTCGCCCGCACCGTAGCCATGATCACGTCTCTTTCCACCTGACAGCACTTCATCCTCGATTTGCTGAAGTCTCCTGGAAAAAAGAACTATTTGCAGTAGTGATAGACTCCCGTTAATACCAACAAGGCGAAATAGAACATATATTCTTAAGCAACTGGAAGTCATGGGCATATGCCACCCCAAACCAGCGAGAGGGCTGTGGGAAATGGAATCCACTTCTGTACAACAGAAAGGGCCTCCCAAAGACTAGCCGACGAACTCCCCCCCCCCCCCCGTTTTTCAGGGGCAGATTCCCAAACCAAAAGTATCACTGTGGGATAAACACCCTTGTGATCCCACAACCCTGGACGGATTCGGAAAAAAACAAAAATACGATACTTAAAACAACTACCACCACCCAACTGCTTTTGCTGCCCAACATCCCAGCTCCAAAATGCTGTGCTTACCAGCTCAAGAATGTGTGCCCTTCCTATGGCAGCTGACGTTTGGGGGCCCCTTGGCCATGGGTCAACCCCCAGTGAACATCAACCAATCCAACCACTAAAATAGGTTCTAAAATGGGTGGTGAATCCAATCCCAACCAAAACGGGATCAACCACAACGGTTTTGACCACCACAGCCCCTTGAAGAAATGGAGATCCGCCCAAGCGATGCCTCCAGAGCGTTCCAGCTGCGTGCCGTCACCGAGAGCTCGCCCCAGCATGCCGACAAGCGTGTGCCGATGAAGACCTTGCAGCTTCGCGACGCGAAGCCGCCCGGCCGAATTGGGAGGTGCTCGGTTCTCCTGGTGGTTTCCTAAAGCAACCTGAGGGTACCTAAACCAACCCGAAAACCCCCCAAACAAGTCCTCAGATCCCACGCTAACATTTTAACTTTTAGTGGGTTAAGTGCAAATCCCCACTAAACGCTAAAAGGCTAAAAGGCTAGGAGATGGCTGGGAGCCAACAAGTTCGTTTTTCCGGGTGTTCTAAACCTGAAATGGGTTCCCCCCCCAGAAAATATTTCCGACACCAACCTGAAATCCGGTACCCCCCAAACCATTCGAAAACCAGCCTGAAAAGGGTACCCCCCCCAGACAATTCCTAAACTGGCCTAAAAGGGTACAACACCCCAAAAAAGACAAACAAACAAAAACAAAACATATATATATATATATACCGAGGGATCGTTGAGCCGCTTTTGGAAACGGGGGACCTGCTTGTTTTTCCCGCTCTTTTTTGAGGCCAAAGGTACACTGAAAACAGGTTTGCTTTTTCCGGAAGAAAGGCAAACAACACGTCTCCGTTTGGCCGGAGGGGGTCTATTGAACACATACCCAACATACCCAAATACAATCCTGGGTTTCGGATGTCTTCTTGCTTTGTAAATATATATATATATATATATATATGTAAGCTCCTTTTCCACATGAATGTTGCGGGTGGCGGAGCCTGTTTTTCAAAGGGCTAAACCAGTTTGGTGTTCCCTGCTAACACCTTCAACTCTTCAACTGGAGAACCGGAAATTGCAGGCCACATTCAAAATTAACACCAAAAGAGCAACACACCCACCAAAAGCGGGGGCTCATCATGAGACCCACTTACCAGAATGGCTCTCAGAACGCTTCTGGGAAGCCCTAAGAAGATTCTAACACGCCTTCTTGGGTTGTGGGCTTCCGCCAGTGTTTCTAGAGTGCAGAAGCGATGTCTGACCGACCCTCACAATTCTGAAACTGAGACTACTTCGTCTACCTCAGCTTTCCCCCCAATGAAACTATATGTTTGGGGTCCATCTTCAGTGGCCGTTTCGATGCTATGATGTCAAAGGATAGAGATCTCAGGGGATCATACCTTCCACTGCCGCGTCCCCCAAGCTTTAAGGCCTGGGGAAGCCCCGAATCGCAGCTTTCCTTCAACTTGGATTCTGGAATTACTAGAATTACAGCAGGGCCACTCTGAAAGGAAGCTTCAAAATGGTCAACCATACTGTGGGTGGTTGCGAAAAACAAATCTTGCACCGCTTTGAAACCAAGGTTGAGACCATGGTTTGTTGGTATTTACGTTTGGGAATCGACGCATTACGTTGGGTTTCTGAACGGTGGTGCCTAAGAGGATTTCGCAACGATCCACAGTATTGACCATATGGGTATGGGTCAAAATTGAACCACCAGGGGACCGCGGGTTTTCGTCCTTTGTTCCATTCGCCAGGATTCCATGTTTGGCACAATGTTTTGGCCATATTGCTTGCCCAGATTGCAATTCGACTCCCAACCATATTCGCAACCGCTTTAAGAGCACCCTGTTGCTCTCCAAGTGGATGATCGCACCTAAAACTAAACTATTTGCCTTCTAGGTCCTGCAGTGGAGAGGTTAGAATACGACACAGTATAGTACATATGTAGGCACATGGAAATAATAAGTATATATGCATGTATCTAGCTAGGTCCACCAGTGGAGAGGTTAGAACAAGGGTACCAAGCGTTTTTGTAGTCTATTTTAGTAGGGGAACCCTCCGGGACCTTGCCTTGCTTTCAGAGAAAGGCGTTGGGGTCCACAGTTCCATGTTTAGCCTCCCCGGAAAGGAAAAAAAGCTGTGGGTCAAAACCAATGGGATCCCATCTTGGGGTAGGTGCACCACCCATTTTAGAACCTATTTTAGTGGGGATTGGGATGTTTACTGGGGGTACGATTTGGATTTTGACCCATGGCCAAATGGAACTGGGGACTTCCAGGGGTACCATTAGCGGCGTTGACAGAGAACCTTTTATTGAAATGGGCACACCACGTTGCATAGGGCAAGGATATAAACACACTAAAATGCACTAACCAACCAGAAACCACACCTTTTCCTTGTATTCAACATGTTCCATAGTTAAGGGCTGGGGGTATGGCCATGGGTCAAAATCCCGTACCCTCAGTGAACATCCCAATCCCCACTAGAATAGGTTCTAAGATGGGTGGTGCACCTACCTACCCCAAAATAGGATCCCGTTGGTTTTGACCCACAGCCGGATGAATCTGTCTTGCTTTGGCCACGAAAGCGTCCAAACAGGCATACCAGCTGCAAAATGGGAGGAGGGAACCCGCTTTCGGTCCATTGCGCAAGGGAACAGGATTTACTTTTGGAGTACCAAGGAAGACTTAAACCCAGGGGTTCTCCTGTTGGGGGAAATCAACCATCCTTGGGCTTAAGTCTACCTTGGGGTAATCCAGGAGTGGAACTCTGAGAAGGAAAACCGGTGCAAAACCCGTTGACCGAGTCAATTTTGCCAGCCAGGAAGCACGCGTTCGGTCAAAATGCGGGTATGAATATTATGTGAATATGAATGTCAATTGAGGACCCCTTGGATTCTCAATGTGCCCTTCCTCCCACTAACATGTCACATGCGGTGTGGTCCCTGAAACATCGATTTCCTCTTCAAGGGACCCCCTGTCAGGTGTCATGTTAGTGGGAGGGAGGGTAGGTGGGGATTTATGTTGTTCAACCACTAAAGTTCCAACTCCTGAAATGTCCAGTTCAGAGGGACTGAGGTGCCCTGAATCTCCATCTCAGGGCAGACCCTCTCGCAGCTTCGAGAAAAAGCGGGCGCCTTGCCCTCAACTGCCCAGTTCGGACCCAGAAATACAATGAAGGTGATCACCTTTGTGGGGCCACTAAAGATGGTTGCCGAAACGGGGGAAGCCAAAAGATCATGTCAGGTCGATTCGCTTTAGGCAGATGTCCTGGATCGCCCGGGCATTCTGTTGTTTTTCCAAGGTGGGGTAACATGTCCTCGTTGAAACAGCGGCCTGGCTATCCCTCGGTATCACAACGGGCACCCGAACACCCAAACAACCATCAAGTTGGCGGCAACGGAGAAAAGGAACGATCATAGGTGATCAAACTCTCCGAATAGATGGGTTTCCCTGGTGTTCATGGTTTCTAAACACCCATCTAAACCAATACAACTCATGCTTAGCCAAGCTGACCGATCAATAGGACACCTATTTCCATTTCGTGTTTTCGGTCCCCGGGAGGAAAACAAATCTATAAACAAATTTGAACAACCCGAAACTGATGGAATTCCCTCAAAAACCAAGAGGGGAGCATGAAGATGCTGAACGGAAGCCGCGAAGGACCGCGGCTTCCCGGAACCCGACGCCCACTTTCTCCAAGTGGCCCAGGCTCCCACGAACTCTCCCTCCGCCAGCTGCAGCCAACCGCCACCCGGGAATCCCAGCACCACCTCACCTGGCGGTCAAGGCGCAGATCCCCTTGGGTTTCCTTTGGTTTCCCTGTGCCCCCAGTGGATCCCAGCCACTACAGTAGGTATCTGGGGGCGGACTTCCTTTTCCATTCTTTTCAACCATCCTTCTTTTCAACCGGATCCGTTTTCCTTGGGTTTCCGGAGGCTTTCGAAGATCAAGAAGGATCGGAAAGAATGGGGCATTGGTACCCTTAGAAGGGGGTACCGTTTCTTTTTTCTGTAGTCTATTTTAGGGCAACCGAATCTGCCCCCTAAAAAGAAACGGTGAGAGAGGGCACCTAGCCGGGAGACCTAGTAGGTAAGCAGCCAGCCTTCCTTTTGGCTTACGGCTGGTTCCCTTGGTCAAGGGACATACGGAGTCCTTGGGAAGAAGAAAAACCAACCAACCAAACGGGAAACTTTCTGTGGTCTCCTTCCCAAAAAACACGAAAAAGGGGGTAGGGATACCAACCCAACGGTGAATTGCCTGTCGTCTCCTTCCCCCAAAAAACGCAAAAAAAAGGGGAGGGATCCCAAAATGGACACACCCATTTGGGTCTGTCTCAACATGGATAAAGGAGACCAAGCACCTGACAGTCCCTAATTTTGGGAGTGGCAACTAATCCGAGATCCGCGAAAGTGGTTGATTCCATGATTATGTTATCGAGAAGCCAGCGCCAAAACCCATTGTTTTACACCTCGCTCCCTCTTTGGGGTGTTTGTCGGGAACCCGAAGGGTTCCCCCACCCATTTTGGGGAGTTCGCCCAAACAAAGCCAGGATTCCCCGTTTGAATATCTCCCGGAGAAAGCGGACGAACAAATCAAAAGTCCGCATTTGGGCGAGGTTTCACAGGGCAAGTTTCAGTACTCCCCTGCAGCTTTATGTAACTTCGAACCCACAACCAGCCCATGTTTCAGGGACCCCTTTTCTTCGTCTTCTTCTGTTCATTTGTAGGGAGTAAGTCACAATCTCAAAGTATACGTCCACCTCAAGTTCCTGGAAACCTTATCTGGAGGAAACCGGTTTGGCCAAATCCGATGCCCAAAAAAAACGCCCAGTCAAGATCTCCCGGCACTGAAAGACACATATCTATCCCAAGACCAAACTAAAAAATCAACTCCAACGCCATGCGGGTGCGGATGCAATGAAACAAAACAATCCCTGGAAACCTTCGCCACCCTCAGCCCGAGCGCGCCCGGCAGGGGCCTCGCTCCAGCTTCGCGAGTTCCCGTGATTGGACCAAGGGCTCCTTCCGCAGAGGCGCGCTGTGGTCCTGCCGATGGGCTGCCCCATGGGCCGATGTTTTTTCGTTCGTGGACGTGGGGTGGGGTAAAGGTGGGCTGGGGCCGATTTTTTTTTCGTTCGTGTGGGCTGGGGTACAGGTGGGCTGGGGTAAAGGTGGGCCCTCCGATGGGCCGATGGGGCGATGGGCCGCAAGGTTTATTGGAGTGCGTGGAGTCCGTGGGCATGTGTTCCTCTTTGGTGTTCATTGAGCCCATGGGCGGTTTCTTCTTCTGTGTTCTGATTCATCTTGCTGCTTGGATCGCCAGGTGCTGCCTGTTTTTCGGCCACTTTAGCCCAAGAACCAGCAACAGTGACTTAACAAAAACAGCAGCTTGGCTATCTAGGTGATCCTTTTATTCGGGGAACGAGAAATGGAATTACTTTGTGATTACAACCCATCTAAGCGAACCCAAAGGTGTACTTGTTCCCAACACGCGGAAGGTCATTCCCTACTGAGCACCCAGCAAGTCATCTAGGGCCAGAACGCTTTTCGAAAAAAAAACACATGGTTGCTTTCTGCTTCCCTGCTAAAAGTTTAACTTTTAGTGGTTTAAAAGAAAACCCATTAGTTGGCAAAAAGCTAAAGTCCCAGCATCCAAGCAAATTGCACCAAAGAACAGATCGCTGTCTCCCCTGGGTCTTTGGCTGGTGTCCTGAAAACAGAAGGATCCATGAATCATGGGGAAGCTTCTCCTGGAATGATCAGCAGAAAGGTGTGCCTTTTAAGCGGAGACCCGAAATGGTGGACGTGATACTCCGGGGCTTCACCTCCGTCCCTTCAAGGGGGTTCCCCGTGTTCGAAAGTCATGGCCAAAATGAGGAAGGCCTTTTTCAGGCTTCCCTCTACTTCCTAGGTCCTCCACATTTGAGAGCTTAGAATAAGTTGGTACCCGATGTGGTTTTTGTTCTTTTCTCGGTAGTCTATTGCAGTAGGGGAACCGAATCTCCCAACCCAAAAAGAAACAGTAAAATATTTAAAACAAAATATATTCTTATTGTTTTCGGTAGTCTATTTTAATTGGGGAACCCTCCCCTCCCCCAAAAAAGAAACGGCAAAAGTTGGCACCAAGCTGGGGGACCTAGTTTCAACCCGAAACACCTTTTTGGTTCCCTTCGAAAGGGATCGACACAAACTCCGCCCCCCCCAAAAAAAAACCGGGAGCGGGGCCGAACCCCGGGTCCCCCATAAAAAACGGGAAGGTGTATCCCCCCGCCCCACCCCCCCCCCTAAAACCCAAAATGTTGGGAAACCGACCGCCTTCCTGATGGCGTTTTGGGGGACCTTTCCTCTCCCCGTCTGGCTTCCTTCTGGCTTCCTTTTGGCTTTTGAAGTCGACCCGAAATGGTGGACACGGTTGACATGCATCCTCCAACTAGTCACTTGCGGCTGGCAGTGTCCTATTAAAATGCACAGCCCTGCCATACATCGCGTTCTTCGACATGTTGACATTAAAATACATATTGGAGACAATCCGCGGTTTCGTTTTCCGGGGCACCTCGGGGTCTTTTTCCTTTCGGCTGTGGGTCAAAACCAATGGTACCATTTTGGGGTAGGTGAATTCACCACCCATTTTAGTCTATTTTAGTGGTTGGATTGATCGGATGTTCACTTTAACCGGGCTTTGGATTTTGACCCATGGCCTAGGAGCCAAGAGATCCACGAAGGACACCCCTTGCGGCCCCTTGCGCGGTTTCGCTTTCGGCGGGCCTCCGCGAGCACCCGATATTGCAAGGGCTGGCTGAGCCGCCGCTTCGCCAGGTTGGCGGCATCCACACGCTGCGCCACCTGACAAAACAAGTCGACGTGTCTGGAGTCGAGGCGGTGGGAGCCCGTCAGATGGGGCTCCTCCGCGTTTTTGAGGAAATTTCCTTTGGGTTTGGCGATTTCCTTTGAGGGATTTGTTTTGGGGGATTTCCTTTGGGATTTTCCGCTTTGTGGGGTTCCATTTCTAGTTGGTGAAAATGGGGGGAGGGTCCAGTATTTTGAGAGTATAGGCTCCATATATGGCAGTTGATCAATATTCCTGTTTCCGGAAAACGCCATCTTCACGAGAAAAAAAGTTTCTTTCGCGAATCTTTCGCGACTCCATCGCCACGCCCTTTTGTTTGCAGCGTGCGCTCTGGAGCCATTGTGGCTGCTGCAGTTGTGCTTGCAAACACAGTAGCCGCAGTGCACTTGCGCTGGCAGGCTTGCAGTAGCGTCAAAAGAAAGCAGTCACCGTCATTCGCCCTTGTCACTTGCGCTTGCCGGGGAAGTGCGGAACCTTGCAACAAGCTCCATGGACTTTCGCCGGTCTTTCGCGGATCTTTCGCGAAACTTGCTCCAAAATAGCCCAGCCAACGTTGCAGGAATGATAATCAATACTGCAAGTATTAATAAGTGCTGCGCATCTCCCTGTCTACAAGGGAGCGGGGTCTGAAATATGCAAGTGCACAGGATGCCTCCAAGAACCCAACGCGGAATCTTTCGCGAAAAAAAAGTTCTTTCGCGAACTCCATCGCCGATCTTTCGCGGAGGGATTTAAACAAAGACGAATGGTCACCGAATACATAACTCCTTGCAAGGACCTTTTGATCAACCCCCATATAGGCCCTCTGGGCTCCAACAAATGGAGCTCTATGATGCTGCATGCATGGGGGTGGGGGTTGGGAACATGGTGGACATCATTTTCGGATCTCTTGTAATTCGTTGGCAAAAAATTAAAAGTCCTAACATCCCTTGGCAAAATGCACCAATCAATCACTTTTGCTTGGGAATTCATGTCCACCAATCACCTGTGGTTGGTGGCTCCCTACTAACATTCGTATCCGCATGATTGTGCTGTGGTGCAAGCAATCGTCTAATGCTTGCCTTAGGTAGCTTCCCACCGGATTCCCACCACAAATGGAATCAACGCCCCAAAAGAAAAAGCAAACAACATAACGTTACTTCCGACCCCTTCCACAAGCAGAAGGCATTTGTGCGAGGCCCGGAATATCATTTTCCGCAAGGCAATGCCATGTCAGGCGGATGAATGGTGAGGCCGGTTCCTTCTACTGGGAGAACTGTTTACCTCACAAGAGTTGGAAGAATAAAGGTTGAAGCACAAGGCAAGGAACTGATGGCATCTAGGCTCTGTATTCTGCGTCAATTGTGGACGACTGTTGGACCCGGATTGCTAATTGCCTCGGTGTTTAGTCAGGAAACAATCCCCCTTGTAATTGAAATCTTTCACTACGGGGTCCGGCATCCCACAATAGGATGGGTTCTATTTGGATCCGGGGTCAACATTCCCAACGTCTCAATTGAGCCACGTCCTCAAGACCTGGGTAAAAGGTTAGCAAGGGATGGTCTCAACCAGAAATGAGTGCCTCCGCCTTGTTGAATTCTTTTGACTATGCCTCAATTGCTTCCTACATCCAACCATAGGTGGCTATTGAAAAAAATAGATGGGTTCCCTGGTAAATGGTTTACGAACCCATCAAAACCACTGGAACCCATCTATGTCTAACCAAACTTTCCGATCAAAAGGACACCTACTTCCATTTGCCTTTTCGTGAATAATAATAATAACATCCAGCAGTGATAGGTTCGCTTAAAAACCAACAGGGGAGCACGTGAAGGACACCTGTTCAATCCAACTCCCCGTCCATTTACCCCCAGCGCCTTCACCGGGTCTGTCACCGGCGTCGGCGCCTTCACTTCCCGCTCCGCCGCGGGCACCGTCGGCTCGGGCGCCGGCGCCGGCGCTTTCGGCGGCGCCACTGCTTGCGAAGGCGGCGCGGGCTCAGGCGAAGGCGGCGCTACCGCCGCCTCGGATGGATGGGCGGTTGGTCGGACACGTGGAGGAACAAATTGGACCAAATGATGCGACCAAATCAGGGACCAAGTGTGCTTCCAAACCATAGTTTGCCCATGACTTGCGGTGCCTGAGCGAGCAAAAAGTGGAATGGGCAAGTTGGTGTTATGATGTGTTATGAGAATACTCAGCGCGTGAGGAATCCCGGCTGCAAACGGGGAGCGAACGATCGCAACACAGCAGCCTGAAAGGTCAATGCAACGCATTAATATCTTCGCCAGTGGATCCCAGTCAAGTCACTATAGTAAGTAACCCTTCGATCCATTTTCCTATGGTTCTTAAAGGGTGATTCGCTTGGTTACCTGCAGGGCAACTTCCAGTTTCTTCTTCGTCCCCTGGAAACATATCCAGTGATCGATTCGGGAACGACATCGCTGAGGCGAAAGAAGCAGTAGGGTCTCTCAATTCATCCCACCCCCCCACCCCCCCCCATTTTTTGAGGATGCCGAACCTGCAACAACTGCAAAAACTGCCATGTTGGAGCCCCAGTTTGCCGTTTTGCAGGGTTTGGCTCAAACCCAAAATTGCTGCCATGAGCGCACGGACAAACTATCTGGGTGAATCACGGTCATTCACCAAACTAGCCCTAGGGACTCGACTCCCAGGAAAGGAACTGATGGGTGAAATCGCGGCGCTCCAATTTTGCTCTACACCAAAACATTCTCTGACCCAACTTGAAACAAACCAGTGTCCACTCAGAATGAGGGTACCGCGAGGTCGGCACGATTCGCGTTTCCAGTTAGTGTCTTGTTGCACTTCCTGCGTGGAATAGCCACACAACGGCAAAAAGCCCTTTCCTGACCTGAATTAGAAAGTAGCTGGAAGTGGTTGCAACACCGGTTATCCTCTTGTCCCAAGACTTGGGTGGCTCGTCTTTTTTTTGGAATTAGACCACCCACCTTCCCACCCCCCTCCCCAAAAGACCGGCTCGCCACCTCCCTTTTCGACCAAGACCCTGAGTCATGAGTTTGTTGATCGGCACCCCTCCGACCTCCCCCCAGGAAAAACAAAGCACATCTGGTTGTTTTCTTGTGGTCTTCCTTCAAAACCACCAAAGAAGAATGTAACCCTCAAGAAAGGCACACCCATAAGCGGTTGACTGTCCCCAGCAAGTAGCTTGCTGTCCTTCCAGTGAACATGAGCACGTCAAACGGACCATGGCTGATGCTCCCATTCACGGCGCTTCCCAACCACAGGTGACCTTGTGGAAACATGCATGGGCAACCAATGCTCACTTGCCCAACGGACCTGGAAACAACAGGTTAACCGTTTGGGACCTTGACTAAGTATGGACCAGGGATCCTTACATTATACACCTGAACATTGCCTTGTAAATGGTGGTTTCCCTTTATTTTGGTGGAAAATGCAATGTTTCAAATGGGCAAAATGTATCTTTTAAGGAGCTCAGTGGACTAAAGCTGGAAAAAATCACAAGGTCAAAACGTCGCTTTGCTTTGGGCAACTGCGAATGTAAACCAGTGAAACCCATCGCGTGGATTCGCCCATTTGGTGGATGACAGTCAATAATTAGGGCAAACCGTCGCTTGCTTCCAGAAACAAACATCGCAAGGTGTGCATTTCACAAGCGTCGCTGGGATTTACCCCAACGCGCGGATATGCCCAACCACGAGGTTCTGGAAGCCCGCGACTCCGAACTTCTCTCCGGAGCCGATTGACGCCAAAGCTTTTTTGATTCTTGTTCCTGGATTTCCATATCCGAAACAAAGACACCCCTGGTGGCTGATTGAGTTTTAATGTGTTCACCCCCTCCAAAACCAAAAGTGAGTGCGCCATTTTTGGAGTTGGTACCCCTTTTTGGTCGGTTTTAAACCAAAACCGAAGCCAGTTTTTGGAGATGGTGCCCCCTGTTTGGTTGGTTTTAAACAAAAACCGATGCCATTTTTTGGAGTTGGTACCCCTTTTTGGTTGGTTATTTTAAACAAAACCGATGACATGTTTTGGAGTTGGCGCCCCGTTTTTGCTTAGTTTTAAACAAACAAACCGAAGCCATTTTTTGGCGTTGGTACCCCTTGTTCGTCGGGTTTAACGGAAAAAAAACACCAACGCCACTTTGGGGGAACGGTTCCCCCCCAAAAAAAAACAAAGAAGCCGTCGGTCAGGGGGCACCTGCCTCCAAAAAAACTTCTGCCGAGCGTCCTGAAGTTGGCCTCCGAGCGGCGTCACACGCTGACGTGCGACCGAGCAAACTTCCGTGGGGCATGGAGCTGTGCCAGGCCGTCCATTTGCTTCTTTGCCCGTTGAAAATGAGCACGTTTTTTCTGAAATCGATTCCCATCATCAAATGTCCCTAAAACATGGAGCTGTGCCTGTTTCTTAGTTTTTTTTCGCCCGGACAACATGAGCACATATTAGTGAAATCGATTCCCTTTAAAACCCAACAAAGGGAAAATACAACACAGCCATGGCTTCCTTCCATTTGAGTCATCATCAAAACCCGGGATGAAAGCGGTCGTAATCCCAGAGCCATGCTTCAAGAAGTAAGCAGGCGGCCGCAGCTACTTCTGGTTGGGATTGTCCCTTACGAATTAACCTTCATCTACCCGGGTTTTGAGGACGTGGCTCTTTTGCTTCTTCGCCCCTTGGACAAACACATGAAAATATATATCCAGTAGCGAAGTCGAGTCCTTTTTTTAAAGCCAAATGACAAAATACGACACATATTCCTAAGCAAAGGGAAGATTGGGAGGGTGTTGGCCCTTCTCTCCCACATAGCCATGGCGCTTATGGGGACCCCAAAAACTTGCTTTGTTGTTCTGCTTGTTGACACAAACAAAGGAACCAACTCAAAAAAAATCCCGCCACCCAATGTGAATTCCTTGATTTGAACTTTGAAAACAAGAGGGGGCTTCCTGGGGCTTCCTGCTGCCTTGGCACCGGGAATATCCAAATGAATGTTCAGACTGCTCCCCCCCCACCCCTTGCACGCACATAGTCGCTCATGAACTTGAGGGCCTGGGACAGAACTCTGCCCCCGCCCCCACGCCCCCCGTCAGACAAAAACTTTAAGAAAACCACAAGGAGAAAAAACACACCGCTCCAACCATTCAACCTCCCCACCTCCCTCTATACATATATATATATGTATATATCACCCCGGGCGATTAAGGGAATTCTCAGGCGGGGCTTTCTTTTAGTGCGCATGGAGCTTATCAGCTTCCATGAGTGCTATGTACTGCCTTTAGCCCAAACCCTAAAAGCACTGCAACCTACAGGGGAGCGCTAAAAGTCAATTCAAAAGAGATACCAGTGTCCACCACACGGGGTCCCCTACATAGGTGTCCTGTTAGGACAAATAGATGACCCTGGTAGATATGTAAACCACCAGGTAAACCAGGGCCATCTATTCTTCTGCCAAAACAACCAAAAAGGACACCTATGGTCCCTTACGTTTCCACTTGAAAACCTCACAAGGCAACTCACTGAATTGGTCACTGAGTCACAGGTGATCTTCACACCATGAAATCCGGTGACCCCTGCCATGCCACTTGGCACCCTTGATCCGCCCCCCCCCCCCCCCCCCGCCCCCCCGCCCCCACACCCTGCCAACCACAGGGTACACCAAAAACAATGTGTTCAGGTTCTATCTCAGAGTCAAACTTAAAATATGACCCTTTTTTGTCTCATAAAGAGCGGTACACACCTGTCCCATCCAACACTTATGTCAACATGAGACTTTTACTCAACGAGGGGAATCCGTTCAACACCAACAGCAACATATATCACATGATGGGTGTCCTTTGACTCCCTTCCAAACACACACCCAAAAAAGCGGTACTACCTCAAACATAGACGAGCCACTCGATTTTTTTCCGAGACATGGCCATGGGTCAAAATCCAAATCGTACCCCCAGTGAACATCCCAATCCAACCACTATAGGTTCTAAAATGGGTGGTGAATTCACCTATCAACCAAAATGGGATCCCAAAACGGTTTTGACCACCGCAGCCACACGGTTTCATGGGCCCTGTAAGTTTAGTATGGTTGAATGGAAAAAGTCGAACTTGGGTGTGTCATCGGTAGCTCAGCTGGTTTAAAGGAAACCAACCCCTACTTCAAGACACACTTCTCTGGGTAAATTATAATACTTCACCAGCCTTTTCTCACCTTTTCTCCTCTGTTAGCTCCTGGCTCGGCATCCGCGCGGAGCCAGTGTGCCACTCTGCGCCGCTGTCTCAGCGGTGGAAAAACCTCCCCAGCCCAACCGGCCTGGGTTCGACACCATGTGCCATGTCCGGCACTCGCGCTGCAACTGGCACGGAGGAAAGGCCCTTGCCCACGGCCTTGACTGCCCCCCCGCTTGCATGCTGTCTCAGCCAGCCATCCACGCACTGCTGGCGCACTGCTGGCCATCTCCACGCAATGCTAGGCATACGAACCATGATGGCCTCGGTGGCCGGTCGCACCACTTCACCCTGCACCTCCTGGCGTGTTGCATGTAGAACAGCACAAAGCGCGTGGCGAAAAGCACGGACCCGCTCATGGCACAACATGGGAGCGTGCCTGGCGAGTGGCGTCTCCAAGCTGTCTACTCACCCATTTGTCCGGTCAAACCTTGGTCCTGGTTGCCCAGTCGCCATCTGGTAATCAACGAGTAACTGCAAGTACGAGACCCACTGGCACGCGGTCTCGTGGTCCCAAGCTGCTACCAACCATTGCACTACACTATTGACAAAAGCCTGGCCAAACTTCCCGGCAACGGCCTCCGGGACCGTGTGTCGCATGCCCCAAACCACTGGGGGGCACGGGCGGGTGGCAACTGCACGTTCCTCCCCGGGTCTGATTACCCTGGTGGCTCGAGTGGCAAGTGATCGCTCAGCAACAGCGAGTTGGGTGCGCTGGATTTGGGCACACAGCTTACGTTGCGCATTGAGCTGTTCGCGATACTGTTGGCGTAGCACGCGAAATGCGTCCTCCCTGCACTTCTGAGCCTGCCCTGCAGCATGGTCGGCAGCCTGGTTGTGCCCCCGAGCCCACTCCTCAACTGGCCCAACGTCGTCACTTGCCTGGGTGTGCGCCGTGACCTTGAGCACCTGGATGGGCCACGGCATCGCGTCTAAGGTCTGCACAACGCACCGCCACAAGTCACTGTCCGTCCCATTAGGCCGCACGACTGTACTCCCATTGAGGATCCGTTGCATGCGCCTTACCACCGTCAGGTTATCGACCCAAATTCGCGTATGAAATAAGGTGGTTGGAGGGATATTCCCCACGTAAACCCACCATTTGGGGTGAATTCGGTCGTGTGAGGTCGCTATATTTCACTCAGAATTAGGTGTGCCACTCTCCTGGGAACACCCGTCCTCTCCAATTCAGGGAACCCTGTAAGTCTAGTGTGGTTTCAAACACACACCCAGAAGGCACGCGCGCCACTCGTTTTTTTAATTCCTTTTTTTCCGATTCTTCCCCGCGGCCGACCTCTCCCGTCCCATTCTCTCGGCCGCTTGCGCGCGCCTTGGTAGGCCTCCAGGGCCCGGCGGCCGTCGCCGTCTTTGGGCTGCAGCAGAAGTCCCAGGCCCAGGGCCGCGCCGTCGATCAAGGCCCAGGCGCCCGCCGCGCCCTCCACCTGCGAATCGGCGAAGGCGAGACCGGGGACCGTTTTGGACGGGCTACCCTTGGAGGGGTTAGCCTTAAAAACCCGAAAGAGGGGTCCTGAGGGGCCCTTAAGGGCGACATGGAGAAAAGGAGAGAATGGATGGAATGAGTCTGCTTCATGATGGGCGGCAGCGAAACCCGAGGGCTCTGAGTTCTGCCCGTTTGAGGCTAGGTCCTCCAGAGAGGTTGAAATGAGGGTACCAACTTGTTTCTGTAGTCTAATTGTGTAGGGTTCTGAGGGCTACACGGAATAAATGAGTCTGTTTCGTTGGCCTATCCTTGTTTTCTGTTTTGCTCCCTGAGTCTGGGCTGCCCGTTGGATCCCCCGCTAAAGTGCTAAGCACTGAAAGGCCGCGGAAAGCGAAGGGGATGGCTGGGAGCCACCCAGAAAACCCGAGAGTTCTGACGGGCCCCGTGCAACGGAGCGTCACTCCCACGTTGCCGCACCGGAAGGGTCCCAGAGGAAACTGATCTTCCAGGTATCCCACAGGTATGTGGAAGAGAGGGTACACGAAAAACATGAGGGAGAATCCATGAATGAGGCTGTTTCATTGGCCTAGCATCGTTTTCTGTTTTATTCCCTGAGTCTGTTTCATAGGTTTGCCTGTCACTTTTTTCCATAATGTTTCTGGTGTGGTGTTTTCAGGGAAGCCGGGTGCCCCTCAAAGGTTGTGGGCGATCCCCTCCTACATTGTCCAATCGAATCGAGGGGTCTCACAAATCCCGAAATCGGTTCGACCAACATGGTCGAGGCTTCTCCCTTACCTGGACCCTCAAACTACCCTTTAAACAAGTCGGGTAGTTTAAGGGTCCAGGCACTTGCTTCCCAATTTAACCAGGTGGAACCTTTTCCTAAAATCGCAACGGTGTTGGGTGCTCCACTCACCGAAAGAGTGCAAAGGGGTAAAGAGCGAGATTGGGGTTTATTCTCGGTCTGCACGCATCGTTTCCAGAAATTACGTTTCACCAGACGCTACGCCCAGGGGGTCACCAGCCAGTGTCCCAGTCTGGTTTTCACGGGGTGGTTCCCTTTCTTCCCTTCAGGGAAATGGACCTACTGGGAATCTGAAGTTCAGTTGACCCTTTGGTACACAGCATGGTGTTCATTCATCTGCAAAAAAAATACCCCCATTCCAAAACCTAAAGTCAGGGATCTCCGGGCAAAGGGCCTTTCTCATAGTGAGCTCATGTTACCCCCGGATCGGTGGAATCGCTCGCCAGAATCGCTCAGACTCACCTCAGAGGCGTCCAACTCTTCAAGTTCATGAGCCCTTCTAACTTAGAACTAGGTCCATTGAAGTGACCGTCTCAAAAGAACTCCAAATGGTTCAAAGAGAAAAACCACCCCAACAGTCTAGAAAAAACGGCTTGGAGTTTGCGCTTTTTGTGGATATCACCTGGTCTTCTCCCTGTTGGTCCTGTTTTAGCAATCTTTTGGTGCTCTTGCAATATTCTACAGCGGTGGATCCACAAAAGCCACATCCAAACCGTTTTCTAGCCCAAGAGTGATTTGTGTGTGGGTCAAGAGTAGGTGCCCAACATGGAACCCTGGTAATCATATGGATGCAAGGACTGAAACCCTGCGGTCCACTGGTGGCTTAGTTTTGAGCCATACCAATCTGAGAATTATGCATGGCAGCATTCACGGTTCTGGACAAATGCTTCTTTTCGCGCCACTCTCTGTGACCGCCCCACACGGGGTTGCTCCAAACCCCCTGACCAAAAGGTCGATCACGGTCCTTTGTCACACCCTTGAGACCGGATCGCCATGGTTTGTGTCCGGCAATCCCTCGATCTGCGGGGCTTCGTTGTTGTTTTTCCGCGAAGGGAAATCCCGAGGCTCTCTCTCGAGACCTTGGTGGAATAGACACGGACCTCGAAATGGATGTGCGTGCCCTTTTTTGAGGGCAGCCGTTGGGAAACCAAAAGGAAAACCGGTTTGCCATTTTGTGGGGTCCGAACCCTAAAAAACCGGGTCACTGGATTTCCCCTTTAAAAGTTGCAATTCACCAGTGGTTTCCATTGAACCAGTCAAGTCACTTTTGCAGGTTCCAGAAAAGGAAACTGCCTGAAGAAAGGAAAACGACTCCTCTGGGATTGCGATGCTAAAGTGAGATGCCCATCCTCTTGACTCTTTTATACTTTACAGGAGGATTCCCTCACTCACAGAAAGTGACCTTCAAACCCAATCTCAATGGAGGAAACATTGAAAAAAGACGCCGGGACCCTCAATCTGCCCTTTAAAAAAAGCACCTTTTGGCAATATAGCTGGCACTGGTAAAGGATTGGAACTAAAGGGAAGCCAGTGGGGCCCGACTTATTCTTAAACCAACGAACCTAAAAAGCACACCTATGCCTCCAAATCTTTCAGCTGTCTTCCTTTTAGACCGACCCCGCCTTCTTGCGCGAGCTTTCCTCGAAGCGGAGCCAGGCGTAGCCGGCCACCAGGTGTGGAGTGCCCATGAGCATGCGGCCCGCGTAGACCACCCCCACCACCTGGCATTGGCCGAAACCCGAAACGGACACCAAAACTAGTCTGATACACTGTACATGAACACCGACGGGAAAATAAGTGTTTATAAATGTTATTTAAAACCAAACATATTAATCAACAATAAGTTGGTTAAATCATAATAATGACAATTACTAAACAAATATAATCAACGGCTGGCATTGCCAGGAGAAAAACCGGTGGCCGATTTGGCTGGCTCAAATAAATGTACCAAAATGGCCCCTGGGGAAATGGAACCAAGGAGTAAAACCTTCGTAACCCTAGCTTCTAAATTTTGAGCCACAGCCACGAAACCAAAATTATTCTGATACACTGTTTGTGCTAAGGGTTTGTTGTATTACACCCTGGGAATACACCCACTGGGTATTGACCCCATTTCGTTTACGCACATCTCCGGATAAAACTGTGTTATGTTGAACCATTCTGGGTCACTTCCCAAGGGTGTAATCCCAAGGTGTAATACACAAACCCTCAGATTCTGAACACCGACGGGATAACGAGTGTTTATGAATATTATTAAAAACCAAAAAATACTAATCGCAAATAATTTGTTGAATCATAAACAAAACAATAACAAATATAATCAACGGCCGACGTTGCCATGGGAAAAAAATGGTGGCCGATGTTCAGTTACCCTCCCACCCTTTTAGCATGGAACCTGAGGTTCGGGCAGTCCCGGTTTGGACCATTTTCTGTTTAAAGGGACCGGGTGCCTGCAACGTTCCATGTTAATTGGTGGGAGGGTACCCCCAGTAGACCAATAGTTACCCTCCCACCAATTAACATGGCGTATCGACAATTTTCTGTTTAAAGAGACCGAGTCCCTGTCAGGTTCCATGTTAATTGGCGGGAGGGTAACCCCTCACTTCCCATCGAGTTGGCCAGAAAAGGCATCCAAACTTTGTGTGACCACATGGTGAAAAGAGTTGCTACAGTCCGGGAAGAGACATTCTTTTGAGAAACCTCCTTTTTTGGGGACTGAATTTGTCTCGCCTCCCAGAAAAAGTACACCAGCCTCAGCTTGTTGTTTACCGCCAAATGGCCACCAAACCCGAAAAAGTGCCTCAAGTCCGAAACGGAACTCAGGAAGTGAGTGGAATCTTGGAACCCCCCACGTCAATTTGCAGCGGAGCATCTCACCGACAGACAGGGATCCGGATGCATTATACACCTGAGCATTGCAACTTGTAAATGGTGTCCAACTTTATTTTGGTGTTGAACAAGCAACATATGTTTCAATTGGTTGCAACATGAATTTCTTTTAAGGAGACCTGCTACCCCATGAAGCTCATTCCCAGAACACCAGCGCTGGCGTTTTGGGCGTTTTGGGCTATGCTGACCAACCTTGGACCCCGGGGCGCCCCGACCCCCAAACCCCAGGGCCTCGCCGCGCAGCGCAGGGGTGGCGTGCACCGCCACCCGCTCCGCCCGCACCTCGAAGCGCCCCGCGTGGCCCAGGGGCCGCGGGTTCGGCGGCGTGGCTGGGGCCAGGAGCTCCTGGAGGGCTTGAGGGGGAGGGATCCCCAGCCCCTTCGACATGGAATTCGGGGAGGGGGGTGATTTCTCACAGACGCCATTTAGGGTTCCATTCTCCCTTTTGTGAAGGCTGAGGGTGGGTGGAGGGACCCCCAGAATTCGGGGAGTTCCAAATCGAATTCGAGCTCCTGCGGTTTGGGGTGGGAGGGCCTTCAAAATGGGAATCGGGGTGACCCCTCAAAGACACCATTTAGGGTTCCATTTTCCCTTTTGTGAAGGCTGATAAAATGGAATTGTGGGACCCCGCCCTCCCCCTTAAGCTATGGGGGGGGGTGGAGGGGTTGGGGTTGGGGTTGGAGTGCATGGAGTTGGGGTGGATGCCCCTCGTTCCCTACTTGCAATATTTAGGCATTCATTGTAGGGGGAAGTTGGAGTTGGAGTTGGGTTGGTTGAGCTGGGGTGGAGTTGGGTGGAGTTGGAGTTGGTCTGGGGTGGACCTGGCCTTGCTCGATCCATGGGAACCGGCAAGTCCGAATTGCTCAAAGCTTTTTGTCAAGGGAGATGAAACCCAGAAAGGGAAAAGTCTCACTCTCTTAGTTGCTGGCGAGACCCCTCGGCAAAAAGTTTCAAGCACTTTTTGCGGGTCCAATACGGGATAAATCCGCGGTGTCCCTAAAAGTGAAAGTCCAAAGATTCAACCAAAATGGTCATAAAGATGTTGGCGATGTCGAAAAGCGAGTGGTAATTACTGCGGTAGCAAGCTACTTGAGCAACAAAGATGTTGTTGTGCAGCATAATTTGCGGATAGCAGGTAACAAGTAACAAGATAAAAAGGGCGACGGAAGTTCCCAACAGCTTCCAACTAAAGGACTCTGAGGATTGTCATTTGCCTGGTGCGAATTGAGCGCCACGGTTGACAGCTTGCTTCCGCACAACTTGACAGGAGGCTCTGCCTTCTTTTGAGGGCACTCTGCTTGTTTGGTGATTTCAAAGGGAGCCCAAAAGGAAACCCACCCTTTTGCAGGGTGCCCTAAAAAATGACGCACCCCTTTTCTTGCTCGCTCAGCGTGACCTCCAGTTGGAAATTCTGGGCAGATTGAGAATAGCTCAGTCATGAGAGACTGCTTCAGTCAGTTTAGGCTTGGTTTCAGCCCGGGAAGGGTGGCTTTAAATTGGGGTAGGTTTAACTTTAACTGGTGATGTCTCGTATGAATTTCGGCTAGAAATATGGCTGACTTTCATTGGGGGTTTAGCAGTTAGACAAGTTAGCTTTGGGGTTAGGCTGATTGTTGCCAGGCGCACGGATATTCTAACGGCCTAAATAATTAGAATGGGGGGTTGTTGGGTACTTATTAAACGCAACGTAAGCATAGGAGTGAAGTGTTAGCCATTTTTTGGGGGGCTTCCACCCGCAAACTCCCACACCTGTGTTTTGACCTCTATTTGTCCAGTTTCGTTGGGGCTCGAAAAACAGGGTCCCCAACTAACATAAAATCAGTGCCACAACTAACCCCCCACTAACATGACTCAGAAGGCTCCTCGAATGAAAAAGGAGGAGAAATTGTCTTCATTGGGCCAGCTTGCAAAAGGCTAACTTGTTTCTAGTTTCCCGTGTATAAACATAGCTACAACCTATTTACTACGCGGGTTGAAGATCCAAGCAGGCATATTTCTTCACTGAACAGTCCGGTTCGTGAGGTTGGCTTCTGCCTGGAATGATCCGTGAAGAGTTGGTCCCTGTCAGCTTTTTGAGGGGGGGGGGTTGGAGAGTACCGCTTTTCATCCGCGCCTGTAGGCTAACTTGGTTGCTCTTCCCCCTGACCTTTTGTAGGCCTAGCCTTTTGCTTCCATGAGGTAAGCCTCTGGTCTCGGGCAATGTTCTGGGTGCGTCAAAGGGAACTCCTGAAATGGGTTCAGTCTCAGGTTTCCAGACATTTGACGACCCCAAAAGCAAAGATGCCTCAGAGGGTGTCAAGTTGCTTGGCGGGCTGTTTCACTTATTTCGAGGTAAATAGAATAAAAGAAGTGTTTTCAACCTTTGCGAGTGGGCCTGCGGCATGTCATGGAGGGCCAAGGAAGTGTGAAAAACAATTTCAACGTGACAGTACTTTTGTGGGGGCCTTAGCCCTTTAGACCTTTCTCAAACTAATGGAAAATATTCCACTATACCAACAGCAGGTTCGACCTTTTGCTCATCATGCTAGCATGCAAAGGTTTGCGAATCCCTGAATCAGATCCTTTTCACTTTGGATCACATTGGAGTTCCACAGCGCATGCGATCCACGCCGGACATCACAAGCTGTTAAGGGAAAACACCAAGGACCTGGCCCGGCAGCCCGCTGGCATGGCAGAATGACAATTTTCGCCGAGTTTTACGCCAAGGTTACGCCAAGTTTCGGCAAGTCGATTGTCACTCGTGCAGAACGCCAGAATCGCAACGAACAACTCTTATTTCGCGAGAACACAAGAGAAGAAAACACTTCTTTCTTTTTTCGGAGAGCGCGTTACGCCAAGTTTCGCCAAGTTACGCTATGTTTCGACGAGTTACGCTATGTTTTGCCAAGGGAGCCACGTGATGAGCCTGCGGACCAATCGGAAGTTGACACTAAGCGGCGAAGAGCAGTTGGGGGTACGCTCCGACAATCTGACAAACAAAGACGAGGGAAGGAATCCGTGGAAAATCTGGATGAGGGCTTTGTGCTGAGCACCTCCCCATTCTCCCGGACATGCCCATGGTTGCTTGGAATTATGTTTTCCATCTGTTGTGAAAGGCAAGAAGTGTTTGGCGACCTGGGGCCAATGTCTGAAAACACTTGTTTGAATTCGCGTAGCAAAAGCACGTCGAAAACACTTGTTTCACCCAAAACACAAAACCTCAAGCAACTTAACAACAGATGGAAACCAAAGCCATTTTGGGGTCCGCTAGTAAGCCCGGCTGGAACCCTTCCAGAACCCTCCCTGAAAGCCAAAGCTAATTTGGGCAGAGACCCCAAAGCGTTCAGCTCCTAGAAAAAGTGTGAGATCTTCAAATTCCCCCTTCCCAACCCCCTTCCCACCCCCCTCCCACCCCCCTCCCCCCCCCCTGCCCCCCCCTTCCCCGCCCGGGAACAAAGACGCACACTGAGCATCCCTTTCGGCTCCGCTTCGCCTCATGGAGCAACGCGAAGGCGCAGTCTCCCAAGGCCCCCAGCTGCCGGCAGCTGCCAGCGCTGAGCTGCAGCCAGCGGCTGCCGTTCACCTAGCTCCACGAAAGCCTCTTTTGCAGTTTGACTCTTCTCTTGGTTGCTGAAACGACCCCCCTGCAAAAAGTTTTACTTTTTTGGGGGTTTAGTGGAAAACCCATTTATTTCCCCAAAAAAATCAAGTCTAAAGACCCAACCAAATAGCAGTCAATAAGCCTCCGGGGAATCCTCCAGTGGACTCTTCTGCCATAATCTCTGGTTCTTGTAGAACGCAAATGGGACACCACCCCCGGAAAAAAAAAGAGTTGGCTCTTCAGTTGAATTTGCGAAAACCTCTTCTTCAGTTGACTCTGCCACAACCCCCACAACCCCTGAGTCTTGCAGAGGGTAACTAGGAAACCACCCAAATGAAAAAAATTGGCCAACCATTGTTTATCATTGCAATGGTCTTTCTTAAAAGAAAAGAAACAACATAAAATATTTTTTTTAAAAAAAAAGAGATCAACTCAGGGAGGTTGGACTTCCTTTAAGCGACCCAAAAGTCAGCTTCCCTGTTGCTGATTTGGGGCCCAGTGGTGAAGTGTGGAGCTTGGGTGGATCCCCCCAATCTCTACAAGAACCAGGACCTTTTCAGGGCTTACCCATCAAACTGATTGATCCCTTTTAGCTGACATTTCAAAGGACATCCACAGAAACTCAGCTTCCCCCTAGCTGTAAACAAGGATCCGGATGCATTATACACCTGAACATTGCAACTTGTAAATGGTGGTTTCCCTTTGTTTTGGTGGAAAAAACAACATGATTCAAATGGGCAAAATGTATCTTTCAAGGAGCCCTGATAAAAACAAAAAATGTGGTTTGGTGGTTGGCCAGGGGTGCAAACCCCCAAACCCCCAATCCAAACCTGAGAAACAAAGCATTTGCTTGGATTTCGGTGCCTTGTCCCACGGCTGTGGACCTTCAAGAGAATCGCTTTCACCCCACATCTTACCAAGTGTTAGGAGAAAGACATGGCTCCAGTTTTAGCGGGTTGCCACTCACCGCCAACCCAGGGTGTTCAGTGGAACATACAACCACGAAGGATACATTTGTATGTGTATATATATATGTTCCAGGCCGTGAACCCCCCCCCTCCCCCCCCCCAACCCCCCCCCGCTGTGGGGGTGGGGTGGGGTGGTGGGGTGGTTTGCGGTGGGTTTCGGGTGGATTTAGGCTTAGGGTTGGGGTTAAGGAGGGGTTGCAGGGTGGTTTGGTTTAGGGTAGGATGTTGCGAGAGGTGCTGGGGTGTTGGTTCACGGGGTGAAAGGGGGAGTCATGGGACCGAAGCTGCAGGGCTCACACGGTACTGGACAGCATCCCCAGCATTGCCAGCATGGGGACCATACCGTTGGGGGGGGGGGGGGTACGTGGCCCAGGGACTGGTACATATATATATATATAGAAATAAAAATACATATTTACATGTTTATACAAATACCCTGGTTTCGCCCTGGGCGTAGTGGAAAGCATCTTAGAGATTCCTCTTTCCCGCTTCTATTTTTCCGTTTTGTGGGTTGGGGCAAGGCGGCTTTGACCATTGGAGGTTGGTGGGTGGTTTCCCATGTAACCTAGGTCCTCCAGTAGAGAGGTTAGAATAAGTTGGTACCCTTTTTAAGGGTACCAACTTTTTCGGTAGTCTATTCTAGTGGGTGATCGGAACCCTCCCCAAAAAAAGGGCACTACTGGGGGACCTAGTAACCCTTGCAAGGGGTTCAAATCCCCAAAGCACCAATCCAAACCGCTGAGGGTTAATCTTGACCCCAAACAAGAACAAAAACAAAACGTCTTAATATGTGATGAGCCGCAAGGAGACACCCCCGTTGTTAAGCTGGACTATTATCTTTTTGGGGGGGACCCTCACACATTGGTGATTTTCCTGTTGCTTTCCCTTCAAAGCCACGAAACAAGGGTGTCTTCAAAAAGAGACCCTTTCCACATTTTCTTCCCTTCTCCCTCAGTTGCCAGTGGCCATGGGAAAACATGGCCATCCTTTTTGGCTGGCTGACTTTACAGGGAAACCCTTCTTTAAAGGAAGTTGAAAAACGTGGGCACCCAGCACCGGTCAACTGGGTCCCTCCTCCCCCCCCCAATTCCTCCCCTCGAGGAATTCGCGCCTCGATGAGGCCCTCGAGCACCGCACCCTTGGGCGCCATCCCCACCAACTCCGCGGAAGCCTTCGCCGCTTTTCGCAGGCCCAGGCCCCGCAAGGCCTCGAAGTACCTTGGTCAGCGCCGCGACTTCGAGCCCAAGGCGCGACAAGACCAACGTAATGTTGACCCATGTCCCATTATGGGGGGGGGTAAAAAGGGTTCATCAGGATTTCAGACATGGGGGTAACGGAGTTTTGGGGTCCGATAGCTTCGTTTGACACCACCTAGGTCCTCCAGTAAGAGGTTAGAATAAGGGTACCAACTTGCTTTTCTCCTGAAGTCTATTTCAGTCTGGGAACCCTCCCCCAAAAAAAAAGGGCACTACTGGGGAACCTAGGCAACATACGGGCCTTGACCGATTGGAATCGGGTTCTGAGGCTGACGTGACATATTGGCCGAACTAATTGTCCAGCATGAGGGTGTGGGGTTCTTTCAAACCACGTTTGCTCATGTTCATTGGGGTGAACTATGTTACTATGTTTTATTTGCCGATTGTATGTCTTGCCTGTGAAAAGTAGCAGATTGCGTCGTTCGCTCTTGGTGAATCATTCATCCTAAGATGAACATGGACTCCCAACACAGGAGCCTTCAAGGGTGAAACCGTTCGGAAAGGGCGATCCGGTGAGGTTCTTTGGATATTCCAGTGACGGATTTGCTGTCGGGCCAACGGTTCCCCCAATCCTTCCGGTCTACAATCGGGACCAAACCCTCAGTGGGAAGTGATGAATCAATCCCTGGTCGATTAATACCACACCATCCCCCCCATTTGTTGAAACACCGGCCATGAGAGGGGTGTCTCCTTGTGGGGATTGAGCTCACTCTTGGAGGGAACACCCCCCTGATTTGTGGGGATCACGGAACACCCCCCTGGTAAGAAAGGACGGGCTTATTCATCCGGGGTCAACGTGAACGGGCTGAACACGGCACCTGTGGCATCCAGTGGGCAAGCATCTCAAGGACAAGAGGCACGTGTCCCACGGAGGGTCAAGCTGAAGACTGGCACTATGAACTGGCCGGTTTACGTCTTCCAGTGGCTTTTTAGCCACTCCTCCCCCCCCAACAAAAAACAACAAAACACACAAGGGAGAAGCCCAACAACGAAACACACACGCGCCCAGAGAGAGACGGACACAGAGACACACGGGTTCTAACTAACCACGCCATGGTTGCCGGCAACTTGCCAAATCAGCCTGTCGGAAAGAAATAGGCACTCGGTTGCAAAATCTGCTCCCCTGCTAAATGTGAATAACTTTTCGCGGATTCATACCAGTAAAGCCGGCAAGCCGGGTGGCGGAAGTTTCAAAAATATAAAAACTATAGTTATCTTTCTCTTTCTTTTCTTGACTCTTTTTCTCCGTTCTACCTCTCTATCTATATATCTACCTATCTCTCTATCTATCCATCTCTCTATTTCCCTCTATCTCTGTCTCTCTCTTTCTCTCTCTGTCTCTCTATCCCTCTTTCTTTCTATCTTTCTATCTCTCTATCTCTCTTTCTTTCTATCTATTTATCTCTCTATCTCTTTCTCTATCTCTTTCTATCTGTCTATCCATCTATCTCCCGCGTATCTATCTACCTATCTATCTATCTATCTGTCTATCTCTCTATCTAGCTATCTCTATATCTCTCTGTCTACCTATCTATCCATCTCTCTCTCTCTATCTGTCTATCTCTCTATCTATCTATCTATCTATCTATCTATCTATCTATCTATCTATCTATCTATTTATCTCTCTATCTCATTATCTCACGTGTATTTATCCATCTCTCTATCTCTCTATCTATCTATCTATCCATCTCTCTATCTACCTCTCTCTCTACCTATCTATCTATCTATCTACCTCTCTATCTATTTATCTATCTATCTATCTATCCATGTACTTATTTCTGTATCTATCTACCTATCTATCTATCTCTCTCTATCTCTGTTTCTATCTATTTATCTATCTCTCTATCTGTCTGTTTATCGTTTATCTATTTGTTTATTTATCTCTCTATCTATCTATCTATCTATCTATCTATCTATCTATCTATCTATCTATCTCTCTATCTCTTTTTGTCTCTCTCTCTGTCTATTTATCTATCTATCTTGCTCTCTCTCTCTATCTATCTATCTATCTATCTCTTTCTCTATCTCTTTCTATCTTGACTTCGCGTACTACTTTCGTACTTAAAAGTTGCAATTTTCGAGCCCCACTGCGAAAGTGGACTTCACGTACTACTTTCGTACTTAAAAGTTGCGATTTTCAAGCCCCAGCTGCGAAAGTGGACTTCACGTACTACTTTCGTACTTAAAAGTTGCGATTTTCGAGCCCCAGCTACGAAAGTGGACTTCGCGTACTAATTTCGTACTTAAAAGTTGCGATTTTCAAGCCCGGCTGTGTCAGATTTCCAAATGGCTTATCCGGGCGGCCTGCTGATCAAAAAGGATATAAACCATGCTTAAAAAGCAAATCACGTGAAGAATTGCACTGCATGACCCAAATATGGAAATACGTGAAGCTCCAACAGTACCACACCTTTAGAACCTGGCTCAACCTCCAAACGACCACCGCCAACCAATTTCCGGCCACCTTCCGACCACCTTCCGACCACGCTCCGACCACCTCCAACCACCCCCCGACCACCTTCCGACCACTCTCCGACCACCTCCGACCACCCCCCGACCACCTCCGACCACCTCCCGACCACCTCCCGACCTCCGACCACCTCCGACCACCTCCCGACCACCTCCCGACCAGCCTTCAACCACGCAAGGCCACAGTGACGGGAACAGGCCCAAAACATGCCAAGTTCGCCGTTTGGGGCTACATTTAAGGAAAAGTGGGATTGAGCTTCCTAATAAGGAATTTTGGAAATCCAACACCCGGCTGCGAAAGTGGACTTCGCGCACTACTTTCGTACTTAAAAGTTGCGATTTCTGAGCCCCGGCTGCGAAAGTTGACCTTGCAAAAGTGCTGCGCCTGCCACGAATTCTGCACTTGACCTTGCGAAAGTGCTGCACCTGCCACGAAATTTGTACATGACCTTGTGAAAGTGCTGCGCCTGCCACGAAATATGCGCGTGACCCTGCGGAAATGCTGCCCCTGCCAGGAAATATGTACTTGACCCTGCGACAATGACGCCCCTGCCACGAAATCTGTTCCTGACCTCGCGAAAATGCTGCCCCTGCCACGAAATCTGCATGCGCCGCCTTGCGCGTCCGTGCCAATAAGATTTGCGATGCGTCCGTGCCAGAAGTAAGAAAATGCCGCGCCTGTCACGAAATCTGCACTTGACCTTGCGAAAATGATGCACCTGCCACGACATCTGTACCCGACCTTGCCAAAATGCTGCGCCTGCAACGAAATTTGAACCTTGCGAAAGTGTGCGCGTCCGAGCCAATGGTCCCGGCGCGAGCCCGTCGCGAGCCCGTTCCGAGACCGTCTCCGTCAAGCCAAAACCCGCAGAGGGTTGCACTTTTTGCAGATTTCTATTCCCCCGCCACACGTATACGCACGTTTTCTCGCATGCATTCATTCTTTCTTCATCTCATCTTTGCGCAGAGCTACCTTTCAATTAGTTTCCGTAACTCGGAAGTTTCCTTCTAAACTTCCTTTGATAAAGAAACCCACTAGTTGGCAACAAGTTGCTCAGTCCGAACATCCCTTGGCAAAATGCACATGCAAGGGCCATTGCCATGCCATGCCATGCCGCCATCGCCTGTCAGCCGAGAAGCTCGTAGGTGACCGTGCGATCGGAAGATGGCACTGTGTGCCTGGGATAGTCATGGCAGGCATAAACACATGGATCTCTGTGGGGGTGGGTAGGGTGGGTAGGGTGGGCAGGGTGGGTAGGGTGGGTAGGGTGGGTGGGTGGGTTGGGTGGGTAGGGTGGGTAGGGTGGGTAGGGTGGGTGGTAGGGTGGGTAGGGTGGGAAGAGCGGGTAGGTGCCCTGGGGACTGGAATGTTAACAAGGAATCAGTGATACCTGCTGCTGTTCTGCGAGTGCCCACCCTGCCCACCCTACCCACCCTACCCGCCCTACCTACCCTACCCACCCTACCCACCCTACCCCTACCCGCCCTACCCACCCTACCCACCCTACCCACCTATCGACCCTGCCCACCCTACCCACCCTTCCCGCCCACCCTACCCAGCCTACCCTACACCCACCCACCCCATCCCGCCTACCCACCCTCACCCTACCACCCACCCCACCCCCTGCCCACCCCCCCGCCCGGCCCGGCCCTACACCCTACCACCCTACCGACCGGAGGAGGAGAAGCCTGCGGCTCGGCTTCCAAGCCACCTCCTGGCGGGCACGGAAAAAAAGAGGAACCCCCCCCCCCAACGAACCCTCGGTCGTCCTGCCAGCCGCCGGGCCACGCTCCCTCCTGACAGCAGAAAAATCAAACGACGCCCGTGCGAACCCTCAATCGGCCTCCCAGCCGCTCCACGCGGAGGCGCTCCACTCCTGACAGGAAAAAAAAGAGACCCCCCTGACAACGAACAGAGGAAGCAAAAAAAGGACCCTGAAAAAAACAGGAACGCCCACCTGGCTGCCCAGCCACGGGCCCCAGGTCTGGTCCTGAGACCAAAAAAAAAGGCATGTTTTTGCAAGGAAAAAAAGACGGCCTCTCCACCATCCGCCATCGCAAGCGGCCGAGCGCACCGGGATGCCGAGGTGCTGTTGCTGCTACTGTTGCTGCCTGCTTAGCCCGCTACCCGAGCAAAACCTCAAGTGCCCTCCCCGAGCTATGATGAAAGTGCCCTCCCCGAGCTAAGATCTAAGTGCCCTACCGAGCTAAGTGCCCTCCCCGAGCTATGATTAAAGTGCCCTATCGAGCCAAGTGCCACATTTGCGGCATCATGCCAGCCATGGGCTGCGGCATAAAGCCTCCCATCGGGAATGCGGGATACATTGGACTCGGGTACGGAAAAGGGGCAGCTTGTGCGCCCTTGTTGGTATCCGCCGGTTGGCGTCCTCGATCGGGCGGTTCCGCCACGACCGTATTGCCCGTGCTGATGGCCGTATTGGCCACCCTTACCCTTGTGTTGGTCACCCTTGTGACCCTTGTATTGGTCACCCTTGCGACCCTTACCTGCATATGGGTCACCTTTGTGACCCTCGCCTTTAGGCCAGGGGTTTGCAGGGGCATTGCCCTTCCGAGGATCTCCCTTGCCCTTTTGATCCGGTCGCATTGGAGCCGGACGATGATCACCCCTAGGTGTAGCAGCCCGCGGTTCTGCAAAAACGATGGCGCATTGGCCGTCACGCTGTACAGCAGTAACCATGTCGACCTTGTTTTGATCGGTATACTCGATTGGGGCCGTGATCGACCCGCCACCGGTTCTCAGGGACTCTATGCTCAGCCTGAGAGTCTCGGTGATGCGGTGATGTCAAAATCAGGATCTTCGTTACTGAAGTCCATGAGGCGTCGCTCAGCTTGGACTACTGGCATGGTCACGTCCTCACGAGAGGCTTAGGCCATACAGTGGGACCAGATGTCCATCCTCGACTGCGAGGCGGTACGCGTCGTACATGTATACAGAAAGGTAGAAGGCAAAGGCTGAATTTAGACTGCCCTTCCTTGTCATGTGACGGCCCCACTGCGCCGCGTGTTGCGGGTGGTTGATCAAATATGCAAGCACGGTTAAGCCATCAGGAACTGGGATTCCAGTCTCACTTTCCTCGATGAGCAGCTGTTTTGCTACCCATCGCTCGAGTGCTTCGTCACTCGCTCGCACACACGAGTGAGTGTCCATCGAGGTGACGTAGGGTGGGTAGGGTGGGCAGGGTGGGTAGGGCCGGCCCGGGTGGGTGGGGTGGTGGGCAGGGTGGGTAGGGTGGGTAGGGTGGGTAGGGTGGGTAGGGCCGGGCCGGGCGGGATGGGGTGGGTAGGGTGGGTAGGGTGGGTAGGGTGGGTAGGGTGGGTAGGGTGGGTAGGGTGGGTAGGGTGGGTAGGGTGGGTATGGGTAGGGTGGGTAGGGTGGGTGGGTAGGGTAGGGTGGGTAGGGTGGGTAGGGTGGGTAGGGTGGGTAGGGTGGGCAGGGTAGGGCCGAACCGGGCGGGATGGGGTGGGTAGGGTGAGGGTGGGTGGTAGGGCGTAGGGTGGCTAGGGTGGGTAGGGCGGGTAGGTGGCAGGGCCAGGTGGGTGGGGTGGGTAGGGTGGGTAGGGTGGGTAGGTGGGCAAGGTGGGCAGGGCCGGGCCGGGCGGGATGGGGTGGGTAGGGTGGGTAGGGTGGGTAGGGTGGGTAGGGTGGGTAGGGTCGGTAGGGTCGGTAGGGCGGGTAGGGCGGGTAGGGTGGGTAGGGTGGGTAGTGTGGGTAGGGTGGGTAGGGTGGGTAGGGTGGGTAGGGTGGGTAGGGCTGGGTAGGGGCCGGGCGGGCGGGATGGGTGGTGGTAGGGTGGGTAGGGTGGGTGGGTGGGGTAGGGTGGGTAGGGTGGGTAGGGTGGGTAGGGTGGGGGCGTGGTAGGGTGGGGGGTGGGTAGGGTGGGCGGGTGGGTAGGGCCGAACCGGGCGGGCTGGGGTGGGTAGGGTGGGTAGGGTGGGTAGGGTGGGTAGGGTGAGTAGGGTGGGAAGGGTGGGAAGGGTGGGAGGGTGGGGGGGTGGGTAGGGTGGGTAGGGTGGGTAGGGTGGGTAGGGTGGGTGGGGTGGGTAGGGTGGGTAGGGTGGGTAGGGTGGGTAGGGTGGGTAGGGTGGGTAGGGTGGGTAGGGTGGGTAGGGCCGGGCCGGGCGGGATGGGGTGGGTGGGCATGGCCGGGCCGGGTGGGTAGGGTGGGCAGGGTGGGTAGGGCGGGTAGGGTGGGTAGGTGGGCAAGGTGGGCAGGGCCGGGCCGGGCGGGATGGGGTGGGTAGGGTGGGTAGGGTGGGTGGGGTGGGCAGGGTGGGTAGGGTCGGTAGGGTCGGGCCGGAGGGGTGGGTGGAAGCAGGGGTGCTGTTGAGGGTATGATTTTATGATTTGGCTTAGAGGAAAGCCAAAAGGAACACCGAAATCCATTTGGCCTTCCTGATCGCCAGACCCGCAGCCCAATGGTTTCAGCTCAACGCGGAATACCGAGAGTCACCTTTGGGTGCACCTCGCACAGCCCCTTTCTGAGGTCGTTACAACTTGCCAATGCCAAGCTCCTTGTCAGCTCAGTAGGAATCTATCCTTCGTACTAAGTGAACTCGGTTGCGAAATCTGCGAAGCCCTGCTAAAAGTTTTTAACTTTTAGTGGTTTGATATGGAAAACCCATTCATTGGCAAAAAGCTAAAGTCCTCACATCCCTACGCAAAATGCACCAAAGTGACCAAGTGGATGATCCCTGTTAACCCCCAAAGGGGTCTTCGAACATGGCACATGGACGATCCTGTGGTTCCATTTCTCAAGTCCCAGCTGCCCGTTGATGCGCTTGGCCTCATTGTGACACTCCTGGCGAGAGCATTTCGTGTTGAGAGCACTTCAACTAAACCCTGCAGTGGCTGACTCTCAACCTGACGAAGAAGTGCTGCTGCTGGTGCCAGAACCGGAATTGCATGAACAGGAGGTTCCTCAAGGGTCCATGGCCCAAAATAGCCCCCGTGGTGATTGGTTCATCAAGCAAGCCAGGGAACCATCTTAACTTGCCGGGGAGTCTTTCTGCCATTTGTTGTTTGTTTGTTTTGGGAATGGTTTGTTCAAAGACCTTCCATTCGTGCCCTTTCCCCTCTCTTGGGAGGATGTTCCTCATGCACAACTAGGTCCTCCAGTAGAGAGCTTCGAATAAGGGCACCCTCTTTTCTGTATAATGTTAGGTTGCGAATAATAAATGGGGAGTGAATACACAAAAAAAAAACAACATTATTCACACCCCTGAAAAGCAAAAGGGGGAGTTAATACACACAAGTTATTGTGAGGGGCAAAAAATCCGGAAAAATGTTCCCCAAAAAAAGTTTGATAATTAATCCCTAGTTCAGTGCAACTCCTGTCTCTCTCTGCCCCGCCCGCCCCCCAACCTACCGCCACCACCAACAAGGAGATGATGATTAAAGTCCCTGAAAAGGAAGTTTAACTGAGGTCCCCAACAGCCAAATTCTTTATGACAGCCCTTACTAAAAAGTTGCACTCTGCCAAATGTTCAAGGGGGTAGTACAGGAAACACCCAGGAAGCCAGTAATGAGATTTGTTTAAGGGGGGTTAATTGAGAAACAAAAAAAAGGACTGGGGCCAGGGATGCCTGCAGGGAAAAGGGCTTCCCTTTCCAAAGAACTACTGAGTCTCCCCAGAAAAGGAAGTTTCCTTTCCAAAGAACTACTGAGTCTCCCCAGAAAAGGAAGTTTAACTGAGGCCCCAACAGCCAAATTCTTTATGACAGCCCTTACTAAAAGTTGCACCCTGCCAAAATTTCAAGGGGGTAGTGCAGGGAACACCCAGGAAGCCAATAATGAGATCTGTTTAAGGGGAGTTAATTGAGAAAAGTTTTTTAGGACTGGGGCCAGGGAATACTAACCCAATACTAAACCAATTCTAAACAGTACTAAGCCAGTCAACCAGAATACTAAACCAATATATACTAAACCAATACTAAACCAATTCTAAGCAGTACTAAGCCAGTCAGCAAGAATACTAAACCAATACTAAACCAATTCTAAGCAGTACTAAGCCAGTCAGCAAGAATACTAAACCAATACTAAACCAATTCTAAACTGTACTAAGCCAGTCAACCAGAATACTAAACCAATACTAAACCAATTCTAAGCAATACTTACTGGAATACTACTTAGGGAAGACCCGGTCTGACCCTCATTTTGTTTTTAGGGCTTCCTCTATTGACCCCCCCCATTTTGTTTGGGGGGGGGGGGGCCTTTATTATTCACTCCCCAACATTAGTCTATTTTAGTAGGTTTGAACCCTCCCCCCAAAAAAAAGAAACGGGCGAGAAAGGGCGCCTAGCTGGAAGACCTAGTCCAGGAAACCCATTTCTCCCACTGGCGAGGCTTCGCGCTCGTCTCCTGCAGCTTCTGGGCCTTGAGCCTGGCCTCTGCAGCCAGACGCTCCAGGCCTGAGCGTCGAGTCGATGGCTCTTGCCCCCTTCAACCTGCAGCCAGCGGAGCCCTCTGTTTTTTGCTTTTTTTTAACCAGACAAACCTAAGGACACCTTCAGGTTCATAGGATTTCAGAGTGCAGTGCCTTCCCTCCCGTCAAAGGACCCCAAGGACCCCCAATTGGTCTCCCGACATCCATCCTGATCCCTCGCCATTTCGACCCCGTCTTCTTTTCCCCGCGGGGATCCCTCGCAGGAGGTTTCTGCCGAAGCCTTTCAAGCTTCGACACACTTGGAGGTACTGGAGTACATCATGACTAGCCAATGAAAGCGTTGACACAGCACTGGCGGCTCCTGGAGCTTGGCCGAACCAAATCATGATTTCACACAGCGCGGGGTAACTGAGCTTTGGGGTCCCGTAGCTTCCTTTGACACCACCTGGGTTTTCTTTGAGTAGAGGGGGTTAGACTAAGGGCACCAACTTTTTGCTGTAGCCTATTTTAGTAGGGGATTCCCCTCCCAACCAAAAAAGTTGCTAGGGCACTACTCAGGGAGTCCCCAAGCTTCCCCTCCCAAACCAAACAAGACACGGGTGAGAGGTCGTCGGGGTTGCAGATTGCGGGGCCCGGAATCGGGCCCGGGCGAAGCGCACAGGCCGTCGGGTTCAGGGCCCCCGGAAAAACGAGAAAAAATATGTCCCATAGTGATAGATTCCCATTCAAACCAAGACGGGGGAAAATAAACCATATGCTTGAGCAAATGGAAGATTGTAGGAAACCCTTCGATCCATTTTCCTTTGGTCCCGAAAAGGTGGTTCCCTTGGTTGCCTGGAATGGAACTTTCATTTGCTTTTTCGTCCCCTGGGGAAAAACATATATGTTTTTCGAGTAGTAGTTTCCATTCCCTGTAAACCAACCAAGGAAATAACAAGTATACTCAGTTGCCCAAAGCACCCGGAACTCAAAGGTGTGTACTTTTTGGGGTCATGATTCAATATGGATCAACATAGGCAAACCAAAAGGTCAAAAGGTCGGTTTTGAGCAGCTGAGTACACTGAAACGCGAATGGAAGCAAAGATAAGCTGTATGCCACTGGGGCACTGTCCACAAGTGGTGCTTCAGCTGCTGGTGCTTCGGCTGCCGGTGCTTCGGCTGCCAGTGCTTCGGCTGCCGGTGCTTCGGCTCTCGGTGCTTCGGCTGCTTCTGGCACGCGAGGACATTCGACGCTTTGGGCTTCTGATCTTTGTGGGGAAGCCCCGCTTTCTGGGCTGGGTACTTCGGTTTCAGCTTCGGTACTCTGCTCTTTGGCAGGCGTTGCTTCTTCAGACTCGGCACGCTCTGTGGCCTCGGGTGCTGCTTGCCTAGCTTCCTCTGACTCTTTTTGCTTGGCGTCCTCCTCTTCTTTTCTCTTTCCTTCCCCCTCTGCCTGTCTCTTGGCGTCCTCCTCCTCTTTTCTCTTTCCTTCCTCCTCTTCTTTTCTCTTGGCTTCCTCCTCTTCTTTCCTCTTTGCTTCCTCCTCTCCTTTTCTCCTGGCTTCCTCCTTGGCTTCCTCTTCCTTCCTCTTGGCTTCCTCCTCTTCCTTCCTCTTAGCTTCCTCCTCTTCCTTCCTCTTGGCCTCTGCTCTTCTCTTGGCTTCCTCCTCTGCCCGCCGCAGAGCTTCCGCTCTCTTAGCCTCCTCCCTGCGTTTGGCTTCTTCCGCCTTGCGCTCCTCCTCCAAGCGAGCCTCTTCTGCCTCGCCGCCAGGCTCTCGCAATTTTCTTTACCCCGTGGAAGCTGCGGCAGAAATATTTGTGGACACATGCGGGTGCCGCGTCTTTCTTTGAGGGTACACTTGTTTGGTGGTTTTTACAGGGAAACCAAAAGGAACACCTTGATTTTTTTGGAGGGTGGTCCCCTAAAAAAAAATGGCTCAAAATTGGAGCCTTGGCTAACCCTCAATCTCCACCATCCTTATTTCCCAATACGAAGTGGATTCCCTCCGTAGCCCTTTGGGGTAAGAATTGAGGATTGCCGAGAAAAAAGAAAAAACAACATACTTTCATCAACAGGGAAACCAGTTGACAGGCAATCCAAGACGGCGGACAATGGCTTCCCCTTGTAATGCCAAACTGGGTCGGGACCCGTGACTCTATCACCTTGTCACGAACATCGACCCTAAAACATCGGGTTTTCTATAGCCACAACCCATTTGCTTTGGTGCATACCGAACGCCCAACTTCCCGCGTTCATCGGTGGTTCCCAAAGGAACTGGAAACCAAAGTGCTGCTTAGTCAACTCCCTGCATCCACTTTGTCATTGATACGTATTGAATTTTCTAGGGGGGGGGCAGGAGGGAGCCCAAAATATGGCTTTAGTAGGGGCGTATTAAAGGCTTATTCAGGGCTTATTGAGGGCTCCCCCCATGAACTAGCATAAACCACAGCATAGACCACAGCTCAGAATCTGCATGCCCGGAACGGCCAAATCAGCTTGGCAAGTAAGAAGGCTCAGCTCCCTACAGGAACGGGGAGTGAATGCCATGCAAATATCTAATAATCTCGTGCATCTTGGGCCCATAGTGAGGGTTCACAGAAAATCACTGCTGGTTCTGCTTCTTCTGTAGCCTACCTCAACATTTTGTTTGTAGCTTCGGACCCCTACCATCGCGGCACCAAGATATCCAGCAGCTTCGGAGCCTGAATCCCTCAGAAGCACCCATACATTTCTCGGCGATCCGTGGGAACACCCACGACTCGGCCTTTACGCACTTCGAGTTGCGCCGCTGTCCAACTCAGCAAGTCCCAACAAAAAGCAAACCCGCCCAACAACTCGTCGCGAAAATTGGGCTTCCGAGTCCTTCTACTTGCTTCAATCATGGGTGTCCAAACAATTGGGAACATAGATGGCCCTAGATGATTGAGGCCAACTAAGCCAAGGCCCTCTATTTTATGGCTTTAACATTCCACCGCGCGTTTCTCCAACCCACTAACCCCCCCTTGAAGGCGAGGCCTTGCGCTTCTGCATCTCCTGAGCCATGGAGCTGGCCAGTGTCAACACGGGCTGCCCAATCTCGGGAAGAAAAAAAAGAGGATCCTCCTCTGGATTTCAATGGTCACGGACGGCCGCTCGGAGCAAAATCGCCAGGATTTCAGAGGTGATGTTGGAACGGCTCTTCCACAGGATCAATGTAAACAGGAATGAAAAGGGCGGGGAGGCAAGAAATACGGGCCTAAGAGGCAAGTGTCTCAAAATGAGATTCAGGGAAAGGAACGATGGTGGTCTAGCTCCTCCAGTAGAGGAGTTCGAACAAGGGTACCCTTTTTTTCTGTAGTCTATTTTAGTAGGGGAACCTTCCCCCCCCCAAAAGGGCAACAGGGCACTACTGGGGGACCTAGTGGTGGATTCCGAAAAGGACCTGCATTTGACCATTGGGTGGGGACCTTTGCCCTCCTTTCAGCACTTCCCTACTGACCTCTCCAGACTTGGGGTTATTGCAATCATGTTTGATCCTTCAGTAGGAACCAACACATCTTAGGCGAAACATCTGAATGGGTGAAAAAAATGGTTGCAGGCAATAAGGGATCCCTTCATGAAATAACTCCTGGTTCAGTTTTCTGCTGACTGGACTTCCGCTTTCGCTCCCCACAAGGACAACAAGGTGCAATACAACCCCTCTTGAAACAAGAAGCATTCCCACATGGTTCGCTTATTGCGCATGCAGGCTTCCTAGATTTTCCCAACATCATCCCACCTAGAGGACATGTTCGTCAAAAAAAGGCCCAAAGGGCGATGTTTACAGCTTACACCCACATGGGGGGATAAAAGAGGACCCCCCCGACAGGCAGAGATTTACTTGCGCGTTCAAACTACTTAGTGAGCAGCTTACAACTATCATAAGTCAATCAACCCCTGTCCCACTTGCAACCCTGGTTACCTTCCCAAACCTTGCTATTGCAAAAATAACTGCTTTCTTTTTGTGCAGTCCCCCTAAAATGAACAATTGCAAACAACTGAGAAACTCGCCGTTCGGCCAGTGAAGTAACAAAGAATGTTGACCCCATACTCATCAACCCCTGTTTATTCATAGGGGGTGTCCCTTAATTGGGGGGGGGAATCATCACTTTTGGAGGGGCCCCCCCCTGGCCCCTACTATTAAATAAACTGGTTGGCTGATTACTATGGGGGCAACATGACTTGCCCGGTTCATGCCGGAAGCTCCCCCGCTCACCGGTCCAAACCCATGGCCAAGAAAAAGCCGCCTCTTCGGTGGGCACCCCAAAGTAGCTGCCCGCAGGCGCGCTGCAGAGCCGCTCCACCTCAAGAAGGGTCCATGGGATGTCGTACTGAGCCTGGAACCTTTCAGCCCTAGACGCTCTCTTTCTTTGAGGCGATTCTGTTTTTGTGGTTAGGAAAGATCGGAAAGCCACCAGTTGGGGGCTTTCCAAGACATTTGTCAACTGTGGCCATCGTTCAACCCCACACCTAAGAATTGAATCTGTTCGTTCATGATTCGAGCCGATGACCCAAACATTGACCCAGATGCGGGTCTTGCTCGCTTTTTGGGGGTCTCCCGGAATGCCGACATCCATGTTGGAGGCATTTCTGGGCAAGCAAGCGACACCCATATCTCAAAAGCAAATTGGTGTCCTCTAGTTCGTTCAGGAGGGACATGGGGAACTCAGCAATTCTCCATAACTCCAGGAGCCTGTCCTCTTTGGGGAAGAAGTCAGTTTGACCGAGGCTCACATCAACCCTTCAAAAGGCGAGGGTTTCAGCTTTAATGAGAAACAAAGCCCATCCCCATCCCCTCCACCCTTGTAACAACTGCTTTTTCCCATGTCCAGAAAGTGCAAGAAGCAGTGGTTGGAGGGTGCTGGGCCTTTTCCGGGGACTCCTTGGGTGGTTTGGATACCTTCGAGTTGCCAAAAGCGGAACGTACTCAAACGACCCCACCAACTGAGGGTAACTTGAGGGTTGTAGGTCTCAAGTAGGATATCATCGTAGCACGAAACTGGAGGGCTCTCAAGAGGGAACCCGCACAGATTGTTTTGTTGGAGCGCATTGTCCACTACAATGCAAATATGCTGTGGTCCAAGCTCATTAGGTGGACCATGGTCACAGTTCAAGGAATAATGTCTGTCCCGTTGGTCGTCAGAGATGTTTAAGGAGGTTCATGACCATGCCTATAGTCCCAAGTCAAAGCTTCCAAAGGGGAGATGTCAAAGGGTCTCTGCTTCCGCATCCAAGGCGCTCCATGGCAAATTTGGGGGTACGTCGGGCTTCTGCTCGGTCGGGAAACGCATACATCCCTGAAGGTTGCTGCAGAGACTTGGGCAGGACGTCGGTCTGTGATGGTGTTGGTTCGGTTTGTCACGAGGAATCCTCCAAATAGGAGTGTATTTTGTAAGGTTGGACCCGCCCAAAATGATTGACTTTTCGTTTTGGGAAACTGGCCCCATGTTTTACCGGCTATCAAGGTCACCCCTAGGTGGTATAGGTTTATTAAACGGAAATTGATTGCAAATTCCAGAAACCGTCAAGAGAATGACTTCCGGGAAAGCTCACAACTTGCTAGTGCTCAGGGAATGTGGGAATGAACCTAGGGATTCCCTTAAAGGAACCCACAAGTTGGATGTTTTATATTCGGGTCATTCCATTCCTCCCCCATTAAAAAACCTACGAGTCGGACCTTGTCTCTCAGTTTCGTGCCTCGTGGCAGCAGGACCGCACATAAGGGTTCTCCGCGAAATTCCTGCGAGCTCAGCACATGAGTCGCTTTGGAGCGCGCTTGGTGCTTCGGAGCCTCGTGGTTTTGGGGTTGGGTGGTTTCCCATGTGCCCCATAAGAAGAACCAGGGGTTCAACCACCAACTAAGGGTATGCTGAATAAAAGTAGCTTTGGTCCACCAACCTTCTCTTTTGCTGATATTAAGAGCCAATTTCGGGCCACAGACCACCACCCAAAAAGCGCCTCTGTGGCTCCTCTTTTTTGGGGGTGCCTGCAATCCGGGTTGGCAATACACAGTAAAGCGAAAACCAAAGGAAACACCGAAATCTCGTTTTTGTAAGGGTGTCTTTCTTTGAGGGTACCCCTTTTTGGAAGGTTTTAACGGGGAACCAAAAGGAACACCAACCATTTTAGTGAGTCCCCTAAAGAAGACATCATTTCCCTTTGAAGACCCATACCCAAATGGCTCTGAAGTGGACATGTCCAAATTGGGGTTTGCGTCACTGGGATTGCGCTTGGGAAAAAATGATCTGCATCTGGGTACCCCTTCAATACAACGTTTAAAAGGCCATGTTAAGATAATCTCAAAGTCGAGGGCATGTTTAGGTAAGGCTTTTGGAGGAGGCATATGCACCACTGTTTCAGAATGGGGCGTCCAAATAGCTATTCGGACCCCAGTGGGCGTGCGCTTGAATGGGGGTTGATCAAAAGGTCCAGTGCACATGGGGTGACCATTCTGGAAACCACCAAAACAGATGTGACGCACCTAGGAAGAGGTTCAACCATGGTCAAGACTGGGGCCTTTAAGGGAACACTGATCAACCCCAAATGTGTCTGGTCCGGGTGTTTTATGGAGCCCTTGCTGCGGTGGGTTTAAAGATGAGATGATGAGGAGGCCCTTTTGGGATGGCTTAGGAAAACCAGGAGACTATTCTTTCCTGTGTCATGTATTTCAGATATTGTGCATGTGAATGCCACGCGTGCAGCTGGCAACAAGGCTCATTGCCTGAGAGGAACCAATCTGTAAAGCTCCCGCAGCTTCTTTTCGTGGAATTGGGAGCGACTCTTCCTTTCGAATGAGATTCGGTCAGCGTATCCAGTAGTCTGACATAAGGTTTCTCTGCTCTCCGAAGCAAAGCAGAGCACAGCATGGAAGATACCATCACCAAATGCATGGGTGGAAAGCCTGTCCAGCATGAAGTGCTGGTTAGGAGCATCCAGAACAAAAACTCGCTCGTGCTTACACACAGGGAAAAAAGACCAACCAACAACTCGTGGACGTTGATCAATATTCCTGGCCTGAAAATGGACCCCATGTTTACCGGATCTTTTGATCAGCCCTCATGTGATAAATCATCTTGCACCCACTTCGAACTGTGGTAGGGGTTAAGGGTGAACCTCACTACACCAACCAAACATCTAAAAACCTTCAGTTGAACCGGCTGGATGGTTGAACCGCCAAGAGAAACATGGCACCAAACTTTCGCCAAGAGAACTTTCCACCCCAATGTCCATTTGCGGCCCACTGTAGTTGCCTGAAAAGAAGCCTGTGACAAAAAAGGAAACAAAGAAGAAACAATAAACGCACTCCGTGGCACTCTTTTCAAGGCGCACAAGCACTCTCTCCAGGCTTCTTGGAAAAGCCTACTGGGCTCCTTTCCAAAACCGTGGCCCCGTGGTTCCCCAAAACACTGTCTCCTGACGCCAGCCTTCATCGCCTCGTACCCTGCCTAGCCGAACGCTCCAGGCTCATGGCTATGGGTCAAAACCCTGCCCCGGTGAACACCCAGAAAGCCATCCAAAAAGACAGTGGAGTAGTAACCATCCCCAAAAAGGCACTTTTGGGTTTGACCCACAACCAGAAGCACTTGCTTCAGGGCTCCACTTGGGCTAGACTTGAACCCACCTAGATAGCCAAGTTGCTGCTTTGTTCAGTCACTGTTGCTGGTTTTTGGGGTTTTCGTGGATGGAAAAAAGCCGCAACTGGCGATCCAGGCAGTAGCTCAGTAGCTCAGTCTCAAGAAGCCCTTGCAGCCAAGTGGAACCCTGAAGCTAGCTCTCTGGCACAATGGCTGGTTGCAAATTCCACTGAAGAAGCAATCCCCCAAATAAGAAATGCCCAAGTGAGTCGAGTGAGTTACCTCGGCCACGTCTTTTCCAAACGCCTCTCTTCGGCGCTTTGGAAGCTCAAGAAGCCTGGTTCCACCGAAACCCTCGCCGGTGTGTCTGCAAGATGGCCTTTGGCTGATTCCCATGACTCCTTCACTTTACAGAGGGGATTCCCTACAGAAAATTGCTCTAACCCCACGCCCCCACCCTAGCCCCCACCCCCTAGCCCCCGCCCCCACCCCCCCCTAACCCCCGCCCCCACCCGCCCCCCCGCCCCTAGCCCCCCCATTTTCCAGCACCCTTGTCCCGTAATCAACGCCTTCAAGCTCGCTCTGAAAAAACACCGCACAGCAAGCCGAGGCTCATGTTGTGCAATGGCCTTCAACACCATGTCGCACTCAGGGCTTATGACCACAAGACATCCGCAAGTGAGTGACAAATGGCACTGGTCAAGGGCATTTTCAAGTACGGTACTTTGATATATGCCACCAATGTATGTGGTGCATAACCTGCATGCCTGAAAAACCCTTACCTGAAAATGCCCTTGACATGACGCATCTGGTGGCAGTTCAACCGCCGAACTGCCAAATCCAACTGATTCGCTCCATGGATCAGATTCGGCAACGGTGACGTCCAGCTTGACCAGGATATTGATTTAAAGGGCGACCAGAAGAAAACCAGCTATGTTGGGCATCTATATTGCGATTCAAAAAGCTCTGTCCCAGAATTTACGAAGGAGATCGAAGGCCAGTTGAACATCGAACTTCATGACGAATAAGAACAGTGCAAACCCGGCTTCAAAACAGTGTTGGATTGCTTTGTTAACGAAGCACCCCGGTGTTTTTCAAGTCAGTGGGGGGACGCGTTTGCCTGGTTTTGGGCGTGGGTCCTCTAAGAAAGATACACCCATTTTCAACAGGTGATGTGGGCTGAAACTGGAGCCTGGGCCAAGCCTCGTCATCAATCTCCATCATCCTTATTGGGGGACCCCCGCTAAGGGGAGTCCTTTCGTACCCCACCCACGCCAGCACCCCCCCCCCCCAACTTTCCTGTTGTTGTTCCCCATGTTCCAAATCCCCCTTTGTACGGTAGCCAAAAAGCAGTGGTTTGGACCCGGGTGGCAAGGGCCTCTGTGATAGGGAAGTCGAAGCGCTTCATGATGGGATTCCACTCCTTCGCTTCAACGCATGGCGACCGAAGCGGATAGATCTGTCCAACCCTTCCGGGATCTTTCAATTCATGGAATTTTATTGTTATTAAACAAAAAAAACAATCCGGAGACTCCCAGTTTTTTGAGGGTCTCAGTGAAAAAACACAAAGTTTTCAAACTCCTGGTTTTTGAGGTAAAACTCCTAGAAATCGATTGTCGCTTATGGAAATGGTTTGCACGCCTGAAACCCCTAGGAATCGCAACATAGTAAAATCAGTGGAATACCCATGCGAGTGCGCAGAGTAGAATAATTGTTGGGATAGTGTACAGAGTTGTACAATTGCGGGCCCAAACAACAAAAAAGAAAACGACTTGCTTCCAATTGTTTCCCCCAAGAACCACTCCTAGTGGTTGATGATGACTCCGGCCTTTTGCAAACCACTCCTGCTTTTTGATTCATGCATTTGAAACACCTAAAACTCCTAGTTTGAAGAGGGTCTCCTGGAAATAACACGGAGAACGGAAAAACAGAGAAATAACAAGGAGACGGAGGACCCAGGTTTGGTACGAAAAGAACAGAACCTAAATAGTCAAAACACCTCAAAACACGCCAACAACAGCGAAGAGATGTTGCTGGGGTACTGTTTTTTTTGGGTGTGTGTGTTTTTGCGAGTACCCGTTTAAGGTTGAAAGGAAAACAACATGACAACCTGCATTGGGGGGTCCCCCTATTTTGTCACATGCCCTTTTGGAGCGACCAAGAAACTGACAAGGGCCAATCAGGTCAAACCGGCAACCATCAGCAGTGATAGCTCCAAGCCCCTCCCGAAGGAGCAGAAAGTTGATCACCTCAGTTTCAATGAAGTCATTTGGGTGTGGCTCAAAATTAAACGGGAGGGGTTACGCAGGTGTTGGTCCATGTTTCCACTTGCCAGGGTTCCAGTTTGGGTACCGGTTTCTTGAGCCACAGCCATTTGTGTCCAACACGTCTCTCCTTTGGGGCGATTTGGTCACAAAGACCAGCCATGTCTATCTTGACTAGGTCCTCCAGTATAGGGCACCCTTTTTCCTGTAGTCTATTTTAGTAGCGGAACCCTCCGCTCCCCCCAAAAAAGAAACGGGTGAGAAAGGGCACTACTGGACCTAGTTGATGTCCACAAACCGTTCTCAAGCCTAGCGGCCGCCGATGCTGCTGGGTTCCGAGAAACGCGAGCGAGCGGGGATCCCTAAGACACACCCTGAATGATGACCACTACCCCCAAACCACAACCCCTACTGTGGATGGACGAAATCCATTTCGCACCTCTTTAAAACTGCGGGAAGCCATTGTTTGTTGTTATTTACAGGGGAATCATCATGCCAGGGCTTCTTAGGTGGTGCAGGATTTCGTCCATCCACAGTATGATTTTGCTTTTGCCCTGCAGGGCTCAAACTAGATTTTCTCTTTCAACATCACACCAAAGGGAAACTTTTAGGGGAACCCACGGGTGTTTGGGATATTTACGGACTTGGAAACAAGGAAACCTGGGGGCATGTTTCAGGATAGGTACAAGCAGCTTCCCACACGTGACACCCTTGGAAAACCTCTTGGTTTTGGGATTTCTGCCAAAAAACCCGCGCGCACACCTTCTCCCTTCAAGCAACAAACCCTTCGATCGGATGGGAAGAAGCGCTCCGCGCTCCTGGGTGATGAGTACCCTTCGATGCTGCTCGGTGCGGGGTCCGCCTTTGTCCTCGATGCTTTGCAGCGCCCTTGCGACCAGTCCGAGTCGACTCGCAGTCGATTTGCGCGAGTCGAAGTTCGGTCGAATCCGTGAGAAGTGGAATGCAAGGCTCCTGATTTGTTTTTGCGGGTTTCGAGCATGAAAATGGAAGAAAAAAAACAGTGAGCACCTGGGAGTTTCTCAGAATGGAAGGCAGTATTTGAAGGGGAACCCCATGCAGAAACCAACCATCTTAACCTCTTTTAAAAGAGAAAGCGAAGTCGAACAACTGGCCCAGGAGTCTAGGCCCATCTCATGAGAACATCCCCAACACGGCCTTATTTTTTGCTGGTTGAATTTAACACGGCCCGCCTCCAGAAGAAAGTGGCACAAAAAGGAATTGCTCGCACCACTACACTGCGAATCGGTGAACCTAGATCCCTCCAAGAGTTGAAGCAAAGCCCTTAAGAAAACCCTGCGCTTCAAAAGGCCTGTCTAAAGGAGGCCTCTGGACAGAGGCCTTGATTTGTCAAGAGGCCTTGTTTTGTAAACCCGGAAGTATCCATGGTAAGTATCCACGCCTTTTCAAGGCCTTTGGCCCCTTGATCCTGGCCCAAAAAACATGGTTTTACATTGGTGGATATGGTGCGTCACCCACGATATCGCTACATGTTGTCCTTTGCGCTCTCAATCTCTGACATCTTTACCTCGCATTGCTTTGCTCCAAGGCAGTTGTTTAAACGGACGAACTCCAGTGGAGTTACGATTCCATGCTTTCCTTTGGAGGTGTCGGCACAGTTTCGGCGACCCTGCATTTTTTGTGGAACAAACGCCACGCTCTTGCACGAAAGCTGCAGTTGGCCCAAGCAAAAGGTTGGGTTTTGGCAGTAGCGTCATGTGGTCCTGCTGGGTTTTTCTTTGCTGTCCTCGCTTTTTGGCATTGCGTCCACGCCTTTTTGAGGCCTTTCCACGCCTTTTTGAGGCCTTTCCACGCCTTTTTGAGGCCTTTCCACGGGTTGTCCACGCTTTGTCCACGGTCCAGCTGGTGTTCTGAGTCACTTCGCTGGGCAAAATGCAGCACTGCGTTTTGCTGACACAGGCAACAATTTGCAGATCTTGTTGTTAGTTTGGCTCCAATTTCTCAAGCAGATACCTACGAAGGGGGCTTCAAACTAAAGAGAGTCCCAAACAAGATGGTAGGAAGGCTGCAGCTATGATTCTGCAAAGGAGAGCTTTTGGCTTTGGCTACTCCTCGAGACCCTTCAGCTGAGGCATGCGCAAATGCATGTTACACGCATGCAACAAAATGCCAAATCCCTTCGAGTAAATAGATTTGCCAGAAACTGCACGAATGGGCCACCCCCAACTGTTCAAGGCCTTTGCCCTTCCTTTTCGAGGCATTTGCCCTTACTTTTTGAGGCCTCTGCACACCCGATTCAAGGCCTCTGGAACAAAACAAGGCCTAGGCCTAACAAAAGGAGGCCTTGGAAGCCCAGGGAAAAGGAAGACCTATAACTCACATTCCGGAGCGACAAGAAAAAAACAAAAAAAGGTTGGCACCAAACTTGGATTTGACCTCTTTGCCAACCCCCCAGCCCATGCCACCTCAGCAGAACCCCCCCCGTCTCCTCCCACCCCCCCCCCCCCCCCGCCACGCCCGGCCACGCCCCGCCCACACGGGCTCGATCCGCCGCCGAGCGCCTCAGCACCGCGGGGCTGAGCAAGGCCTCCTTGAAGGCCTCGCGCGCCGAAGGCCGACGCCCCGAGGCGAGGCCCGAGGCGAGGCGAGGCCCGAGACGTCGGGCGGCGAGCGAGGCGAAGCGAGCCTTCGGCGTCGTGTGCTTGTTCGGGAGAAACAAAAGGGTGGGGGTGGGGGTGGGGTGGGGGGTTTGGGTGGGTGGGGGGTTTGGGTGGGTGGGGGGGTGGGGGGGGATGGGGGGAAACATGTCCATGCAGTGACGGCCAGAGCAACCTGTTCGGGCACCTTTTAAAGTGCGCAACTTGTGTATTGGAGAACATGGGAGAATATGAAACTCCGGCGCTCTGATTCCATCTTGTTTCATCTCGTCTTGCATGGTTCCTACAAAACAGAATCTCTTTGATCTCGTTAATTTCGGGGGGACCATCTGGTTCGAAAAACAAAAGCTCTACTTTCGATGGTACTCCGACCGTACGGGTTGATTGGTGTCCCACACCCACCCACCCCTCCCCACGCCACCCCACCCTACCCCGCCCTACCCCACCCCACCCCATCCCGCCATACCCCATCCTACCCCCACCCCACCCTCCCCGAAGTGCCCTTTGGGGACGGAATCGGACGCCCAAGCCCCCAAGCCCCGCATCGAAACATGGCACACTTTCGGCAGTCGATCGATGTGTCGATCGACGTGGCCTTGAGGATCTCCTTGGCCTCTCCAAGAAACATCTGACGACCTCTGATGTCCCGAGGTACCTGGCCGAGTCGACCACTTTTCACTCGACTATCAGCCAACCAACCTGTCCCACAAATTAACCCGGTTCTACCCCTCCAAACGTTGGAATGGTGCCGGGACTGTTTTTGTGGCACCCATGCTGCACAGGTCCCGAGTCTTGGGGCTTGGAGCACCCCACCAAAAACCACAAAGTCCCACCAGGACATCAAAAAGAGTTGTTGCAAGGAGCCTGGAGGTCACAAACTCCACCAAGAAAACGGGGCGCTTGAGACACATGTCCCCAGAACTTTGGGTGCCTCCAAGGACCCAGGGCTCCGATTCCTTGCTGGATGTCCCCAAATTCCTTGGTGCACGGAACGAGGGAATCACCCGTAAAAACCATCTCTTGTGGTTTCCCTTAAAAGAATCCCTAGGTTCATTCCCACATTCCCTACTGAGCACCGGCAAGGTGGATCAATCTACGGTCGGTTTCCATTGAAACGATCGCCACTTTTGGGCAAGACAAATTAATCCACCTCGTGGCAGTGTGGTGTGTGGGCGGGGGGACAGCACGCAAATGTCTCACTGAAGAAGTTGCACCCCTCGTTGGTTGAGAGGTATAGCCACATTTCTCTCTCGGGCAAGTCATACCGCAGACTGGCCACCGAAGAACAATGTCTGCAACGACACCTGCCGCGCTTCTTCCCACGTGGTAATTTGTGCGACATCTCTCGTGTACGAACTCCTTGGAACCTCTTATAACCTCCTTGCCCCCACATTCAGTGGCATCTGCACAAGACCACCCAGCTGCGACAGCCTGCAAAATTGGTCTGACGTGAACAGGAAAGTGTCCCGCAAAACATGGTCTTGCAGTCTGAAGAAGCAACAGGCTCTTGGCAGAGCCACCAATTGTGACTCGCTTCGATGCTCGACTTCACCTTTCACATGAAGGCGGTTCTGGAATCGCCACAAGTCAAATGGTCCCCGAACTCGTCGAAAGTAGGTCACTTGACAAACCAGTTGCAGTTGGGTCTGTGACTAACCCCCCATGGATTCTCTTGGCATCACAATCGGGTCACACCATTCGGTTGAACCCCTGTACTTGGTTGGCTTTCTTTTGGATTTCCGGCAAAGCCTCAACCTCCATTTGCTCAATTCCCCAGCAAAGAAGCACACAAGATATGCTTGAAATGCAAATGGAAGTCAAAAGGGGGCACCCCAAAAGGGAGGGTGTTCCCCTCCACAAGTCGTGAATTTTCACTAAAAGGGGACACACCCGGCACCGCTCAGCTCTCAAATTCGAGGGGGTTCCACCTGGACCCTCAGCTTCTACCCTAAGCTGGGGTATTGCAACCCCAAATGGTCACGGTGACTTTCCACTTAAGGCTACTTTGAGGGTGCAGATACGATCCGGACAGGGAGTGTTGGGCTTCCCTATCAGCTGGGAACTACGCCACAGCCGCAAATGAACATGTGGAACAAAACCTGCTGGTGCTGAGGGATTGGGAAATGGAATGACCCCAGAAAAAACATCCAGCTGGTGGTTTCCTTTATTGGGTAATTAATCCTCAAAACCGGTTCATTCCAACTCACGTTCGGGGGGTCCTTTGGACCAAATTTTCCTTACAGAGGGATCCCAGAACGTCAGGTGCGCCACAAGCAAAACCCGGTATTAAAATGGTCTACCCAGAACCATGCTTCAAGAATTAAGGAGGAGGATATCCGCACCCATTTCTGGCTGGGACTGCCCCTTACCTTCATCTACCCGGGGTTTGATTGTGGCTCAAATGTGAACATTGGGCGGTTCCCATCCAAAACAAACCACGGCGGAAGCCAGGCCAGAGCGGCAGCTCCGCTTTGAGCGGAGCCCTTGGCTACCTGACCAAAACATCCCGGAGCTCGGAAATGGAAACCCATTGGTCGGGGTCCCAGTGGATTTCCGTTGGGAAGAATGATGAAAAGTGTAGTTTTAGTAGTTGTTTGCAGTTGTTTGTAGTTGTTTGTAGTTGTTTGTAGTTGTTTTAAATTTGGTTTCTAGTTTGTTGGCCCACGCCTCCACAAAACAAAGGCAAAAAGGAAGCAACCCATTTGGTGGATGGGGCAAATGGAATCCTAAACAAACACGAAAGCGAAGAACAAAGAATAGGAGAGAATGAGAGAATACTTCTTCAACAAGTTCTTCTTCCATTTCATCGCCCCCCCTGCAGCATGAGGGCAATTGTAGATTACCTGCCAAATGGAAAGCAAAATTGGCGAAACGCGTACGTCGAACTGGGCATGCTCCGATGCATTGCGAATTTGTGTCTCGACAAGTCTTTGGGCTTTTCCAGCGCGAAGCACCGCAATTCAAAAAGCGAATGTGAAGCGCACAACGATTCAACCAGCGAACGCGAAGCGCACAACGCGTCCTGGGGAATTAATGGTGCAACAAGGGTTTGTTGCCTCGACCGAAGCAAAACCCCGAAGTCCAAAAGGAAATCAGTTTCGTCTCCAGACTCCACACGGATACATACGTTTGTCTCAAACTGGGGGACCCTCCAGCTGGTTGCCTTTCAGTTTTCCTCTACACCCCAGAAAGGGAACCCTCCCAGGCACACACCAAAAAAGCCATTGCCTCTGCTTCTTTCCAGCTTCTGCCTTCTGGCGTGGCCTCACACGAAGGGGTAGATCCTCTAAGGATGCCCTAGAAATACCTTCCCAACCCCCCACCTGTCCAACCCTTGGTATGATAGCCATCCACTTTATCTTTTGCAGCCTACGAAAAAAGATCAGAACCAAAACCAAACCACCCCGCCAAAAACAATCCTCTTGCACCTAGGAAAGCAGAAAGCCGCGAAAGCGCGAGATCTCGGAATCACATGACAGGCTTGAACAAAAAATCATGAGGTTGCCGAATGGGCATGGGAGAAACCAAGTCTATCATAATCAAAACCTGGTACAAACATGGTGAACCCAGAACCATGTTTGGGATTGGAAAGGCCGTCGCACCCATTCATGGCTGGGACTGTCCCTTACTACCCTCCAATCACCTGGGTTCTGATGAGCTCCTCAAGAACGACGGAAACACTTCCCCCCCCCCAAAGAAAAACCTGATCTTGGTGGTGCCGCGTGCCTGACTCGACTGCTTTCCGGCATGGGAGCCCCGTGACCAAAACACCTTTTTTTTGAACTCTGACCCACAAGAGCACCTCGGAATGTGAAGGTGCAAAGGGAGATCTCAGAAATGAAGTATAGAGTGGATACTGTGGATGGACGGAAACCTGCACCACTTTGAGACCATGCGAAGCCAGTGTTAGTTGGCATGTACAGGGGAATCATTCTTCCGGGATTTCTCAATTGGTGCAGGATTTCGTGCATTCACAGTATCACCAAACCTCGCAAAAACAAAAAAACATGCGCCCCGCGTCCATTGACTTTTGGTGCTCGGATTAGGCCTGACCTTTCACCATAGGCATCAAGTAAAAAATGGGAACCCCGGATTAACAAACCCCTGATTGATACTGATCGGGGGGGTGTCCCGCTTTGGTGGGGATCCGGATCACTTTGAGAGGGTGTTCCCCGGTAAGGTCGAGTTTCGATAAAATCCGGGGTCAACATGAGATGTGAGAAGGGCACAGTCCCAACCTCTGGATCCTTGACATGGTGTTGGGTAGACCATGTTAATACTAGGCTTCGGTCAAGCCAGCGTAGCTGACAACCAAACATGATTCACTTGCAGTGGTTCCTTTGGTGTTAAACGCGGTGCGGTGCGTTTAAAAATTCCCGACTGATGTTGACCCAAAAGTAATAAACTGGTACTATTGATCCGGGATCCCCACAAGGGGACACCCTCAGCTCTCAAAATCAACCAGGGTTATTCATCTGGGTTTAGCTCGCTTGTCGCCAAGCCCACCAAATTCAGGGGGACTTTTAGCTGAACACCCGAAACAGGAATTCGGAGAATGCGACTCAAAGAGACCCCCGCAAAAAGGGCCTAAAGAAGCCGGCTGTTTAAAAAAAACATGAACAACACTGTAAAACATAAAACACCAAAATCATATACCAGATTGCTTTTTTCTTTTAGCCAGCCGGTTTCCGCCTCAGAGCTGGGGTCTTTGGGTTTTTGGGTTTTGCGGCCAAGGCGCAGTCAGGCCAAAGAGGGTGCCCGGCACCATACGAAGCTGCTTCTCCACCTCTCAACTTCTTTTTTTTGGCGAATTGTTCGTCCAGCGGGAAAATGGCTGTGGGTCAAAGCCAATGGGATCCCATTTTGGAGTAGGTGCACCACCCATTTAGCACCTATTTTAGTCGGGGTTGGGATGTTCACTGGGTTCACTTGGGGGTACGCGGTTTTGACCCATGGCCACATGCGAACATATGAGCAGTGAAAAACCATGTTTCCCGTAAAGGAAATTATTTCAACTTCCGCAATTGCGGAAAGTTTCCGCCAACATCAAGGTCGCTTACGCTGGCTATTTTTGACAGATGGAGCTTCCGGATAGCTTGCGACTCGTGGCAGGCATGTGTCAAGCTGCACTTGCCCCCGCAAGCAAGAAGAAGGAGCCTGACACAGCAACAGCTTGCAGACGGAAGGAAACTTTTCGGGCCACGAAAAGTTCACCACCAAACCCTCTACAGATTGCATCACTCTGTCTTTCAGCGCATGGCCAGCTCTGGCCGGCCGGCTCCGGGCTGGCATGCATCCATCCATCCATCTCCAGCTGGCTGGCTGATCTCATATCGCTCTTCGCGTCTCCGTGTCTTTGCGTATTCGCGTGCCCGTGTCTCCGAATTGGCGTCGCCGCGCCTTCGCGTCTTCTTGTTTTGGCGTCTTTGCGGCGTCTTCGCGTCTTCGCGTATGCGTGCCTCTACGTCATCGCATCTTCGCGTCTCCGCGTCTTCGCTGCTTTGAATTTTTGTGTTTTCGCGTCTTTGCGTCTACGCGTCTTCGTGTCTTCGTGTCTTCGACCCCTTGGTCCTTGACCCTCTGAATCCTTGAATCCCTGAGTCCTTGATTGGCTTGCCTGACGCCCTGCGTCCGTGAATCCCTGAAGGCTTCTCGTCTTCGCGTCTTACCCGCCTGAACCCTTGAATCTTTGAGTCCTTGATTGGCGTGCCTGACGCCCTGCGTCCGTGAATCCCTGAAGGCTTGATTGCGCTATCTCGTCTTCGCGTCTTACCCGCCTGAACCCTTGAATCTTTGAGTCCTTGATTGGCTTGCCTGACGCCCTGCGTCCGTGAATCCCTGAAGGCTTGATTGCGCTATCTCGTCTTCGCGTCTTACCCGCCTGAACCCTTGAATCCCTGAGTGGTTGATTGGCTTGCCTGACGCCCTGCGTCCGTGAATCCCTGAAGGCTTGATTGCGCTATCTCGTCTTCGCGTCTTACCCGCCTGAACCCTTGAATCCCTGAGTCCTTGATTGGCTTGCCTGACGCCCTGCGTCCGTGAATCCCTGAAGGCTTGATTGCGCTATCTCGTCTTCGCGTCTTCGTGTCCACTGGGTTCGCTTGCCTTGCCCGCCTGAAGCCTTGAATCTTTGAGGCCTTGGTTGGCCTGCCTGAAGCCCTGAAGCCTTGAAGCCCCGAAGCCTTGATTGCACTATCTCGACTTTGCGTCTTCGTGTCTTCGGCGCCCCGATGACCCTCTGAGCTTGCCTGACCCCCTGAAGCCTTGTGAACTAGCTGCTCAAAAGAACTCATTCCAGCAATCTGATGCCATTTTCACCTCGAAGCATTGCGCGGACCAAAAACAACGTCTATATATATATATATATCTCTTCTACCAAACAATCCGACCGAACAAAGGATCTGACAACCGGAGCTTTCGGAAAGCTTTCGACTCGTGACTCATGCAAGCAGCTTACGCAGGACCTTCCGATCGCTTGCGAATCTCGCAAAAACGCTTACGGCTGCAAGAGTCATTTCCACGCTTCATCTAATTTCAGCCACGGAAGTTGTTTTTCGCCGCTCATGTGTCCAGTAGTCACCCACGCACTCACCTTTCCTGGGCCAGGAAGGTGATGTTTAAAACCACCAAAAAGGGAAGCATAGGGACCTCTGTGATAGGATTCCCCACAAAAAAAGAATCAACACATCTGTCATAAGCAAAAGGCCAATACGGTTGGACCCCCGAAAAGATGTCGCAGCGTTTATGTTTCCTTTCGGGGTTCCTTTAAAACCAGAAAGGACGAGCAAAGAGACACCAAAGTCAAATCCGAATCTGAAACTCACACCGTTAAAAAACCCAGGACAAGCCTTGGGGCAGTGGATTTCCCTAAGATTCGGCACCCCAGTTGTTGGGTCTGCTAGGGGCAAACCCCTCCAAAGGAAGGAGAAAAGAGGAAGCAACCCGGAGGTCTGGGTAAGAAGGGCATATATCATATATCCTTGTGGCAGCTATATAGTGATTGTGTATCCCATTGAACCCCTGGAGGTATGTCGTGGTTTGCAGGTAGTGGAAACCATCTTAGATCAAACCCGGGGGGGGGGGGGGTGTAGGGGGGTGGGGGAGGTGGGCCGTGCCCATGTCTGCCTGATAGAAACATTATATTCTTGCCAGGGAGGGCAGAATGCGCTCATGACCAATACTCCAAGCAGCTCTTTTAATGGGTATGATGTCAACCCCTGACTGAAAACGAATCAATCATGAAAAACCTGGTGTTGCAAACTCTACCCCTAAACAGGTATTGTAAGTAGGGGGCACGTTTAAATCATGCAAAACGGAACATAAGGGCGAATCATTGTAAGCCATCACCCCCTTATTTGGGGGGATCCAAAGATTCGTAGATAAGAGCCTTCTCCCGCCTCCCGCTTGGCCGACCCCCAGCTGCAAGAGGACCGGTTTTGGTCCCTGCCGCCTTCTATGTGGATGCCAAAAAGGGCCAAAGAAATGTTGAGTGCGTGTCTCAAAATCAAGGCAGCCTCACAGTGGGCGTTCTACATGTGGCTTCCTTTGTTGCCAACCCCAAAAGCGTAATTACCCCTGAAAAAATTGACATCCACAAAAACTCTACCCTTTCCACCTGGGGTTAAAGGGAAACCAAAAGCAAACCCACGTTTTGAAGGGTCCCCTTCTTACGGCACATTTTCGTGTTGGACAGTTTTGGGTCAGAGTCACGTACAAGTTGGCACTTGCGAATGAAGGTGACCAAAAGCTGGTGAGAATCAGCATTCGAGCGGGGATCTCTAAGGATTCAGTCCCCTTGAAGCCAGGAAGGGAACCACAAAGAGTGAGCGCGGAGAATGGAAATCCACTTTACAAAAAAAATAGAAACGTGTCTGCATCACCATGGTGATAGATTCTCTTTAAACTCAACAGCGGCTCGCATAAAAATTTCATTCTTGAGAACAGGGAAGTGTTCAGCGCTAGTTGCGCTTCACCCCAACCCCCAAGAGCCAGGTCTCCATCGCGGAAATTTTAAGTTGAAGCACCAAGTTGACCCGCCCAAGGAGCTGAACCACTTCAGACTACGCTCGAACCAACTGGCCTCATGGGTAACCAGGCGGATTCCCGGCTGCGTTCCGTGCGCCTGCAAAGTTCAACCGCTTGCCTTTGGGTAAAAACGATGGGTGCCGTAGGTGACTTTCCTCATGGTTGGGTTACCTCGGTGGCGAAATCTGCGAAGCCCTGCTAAAAGATTTTAACTTTTAGTGGTTTAATGGAAAACTGATTGGTTTGCAAAAAGTTTAAAGTCCTAACATCCAAGCAACATGCACCAAAGTTACCCTCCCACCAATTAACATGGAACCTGACGGGGGGGGGTCCTGGAAGACCATCTTCCTCTTAAAGGGCCTTCAGTCAGGTTCCACGTTAATTGGTGGTTGAGTTAATCCAACCATTGACCTCAGGATTCCCATCATGATTGGGTCCCAAGTTGCCATTCTTTCAATGAGACTCGAACCAAGGATTGCCATCATCTAAATAGTTTAATGATACTCTAGGTCCTCCAGTAGAGAGGTTGGAATAAGGATACCTATTTTTTCTGTAGTCTATGTTAGTAGGGTAACCCCCAAAAAAAAGTGAGAAAGGGCACTACTGGGAGACCTAGGTATTGGGAAAACCCCCAGCGTGAGTGGTTTCGCTCAAGTCCCAGCTTTTTGTTGTTTTTGGCATCAGCCCTGAGGCACCTGACCCCCTTCAATGAGGCCCCCGTCCAGCAGCCCTATGAACTCGCGGGCCCTTGAAAACAACAGCCCATAAAATGAGGACCCCACAAAAATCGGGAGCCATACCTTGGTTGCTGTTCACCCCCATGCAAAAGTTTAACTGTTTTGGGGTTTAGTGGAAAACACCTTTATTTCCCAAAAAGATAAAGTCTAAAGATCCAACCCAGCAGCAGCCAAGATACTGTGGATGGACGAAATCCATGTCGCACCATGTTGAAGCCAGGGTTGAAACCATTATTTGTTGGAATTTTATCGGGGAATCATCATTCCAGGCAGGAGTTCGTCCATCCACATTAGCGATGTCCCAGAAATATCATAGCAACTCAACGTTTTGAGTAATCCAGATGGTTCAGATGAAAGCGCTTCCATGAAGTACAGAGGCAATCTGGACTTGCTATGATTCACCATAACAGCTGGTAGTGCAACTTACTAAGATGGCCCTTTGGGGGTTTTGGGCGCTCAACTGTTGTGGGCCATCAGGGATACACAGGCCTCCATTTGCTCTTTCGTCCCCTGGAAAAAAAAAAAACAGAGAACATATGTCCAGTACAGTGGAAATAGAAACAAATGGTATTCTGAACCAAATTAAAGAAGGACAACAACGCAAGAGGAGACTTAAAGGAGACTGGGAGACTCCAAAAAAGCACAGTCCAAAGAAATTATCGCAAGCTTGCCATGAGTGAAGAAAAACAAAACGCTGGACCAACTCATTGGTCTTTGCGGCCGCGGTTGATTCCTAAGGTCAATTTGAAGGGATGCTCCACTCTTTGACTTAACGGATTCAAATGAATCAGCATAGGATGGGTGGTCAAAACGGGCCTTTTCTGGTAGCCCCTTTACAATGCGGCACAACGCGGCACCAGGGTCCAACAAGGGGCCGTTTATTGTTATTATTATTATTATTAGTATTATTATTATTATTTTTCACAAAACCCCAATAGGAACAGAGGGGCCGCGTGCACCTGAAGTCCAATGTTACGACCCCAAACGTCTCCAACGTTGCCCTGACTCGGGCGGATCGGACGCCAAACAGCCCAAGCCAAAGTTGTCCCAAAGCTTCCGCTGCTCACCAAGCCAACTCTTCCCACACGTGGCCGTGGGAAAAAAAAAGGCACGTTTCCTTCGGTTCACGTGGTTGCTGAAACGACCCCCCTGCCAAAGGTTTAACTTTTTGGTGGTTTAGTGGAAAACCCCTTGATTTCCCAAAAAGTTAAAGTCTAGAGATCCAACCCAATAGCAGTCAAGTTGAGGGACAGGGACCTTCAAGGGCAAATCGGGCTCATGTGACTTAGCAATGGTTCACTGAGTCACTCCACTGACCCTTTTGTGGGACAATACGGTGGGCAGTAATCTACATGAATCCGAAAGAAAGAAAGATAGAAAGAAATAAAGATACATAGTAGATAGATAGATAGATAGATAGATAGATAGATAGATAGATAGCAAGAAAGAAAGAAAGAAAGATGATAGACCGAAAGAAACAAACGCAAGGTCAAGTTCTAGAATGACCCCATGATCTTGACAACACCTGCTTGGCGGCCATGCCAGCTTCTTTTGGCATGCATCGTCATTGAGCGCGCTCTTTGAGCGAGCCGTGGTTCCAAACGCGCGAAACGCCCGAGCGTTTTTTACATAAACATCTGCCATGGTCGAGGCTCATCATGGCTCAGGGAATTGTGGGTGTGCCGCTAAAAGGAGCCCGAAGAATGAGCGGCTTCCTTTTCTAGGTGCTCCAGTAGAGAGGTTAGAAGAAGTTGGTACCAACGATTCTTTTGCTGTGGTCTATTTTAGTAGGGGAACCCTCCCCCAAAAAAAGAGTCAAAAGGCACTACTGAGGGACCTAGTTTTAGCTTCCCTGTGAACCCAGCGCGTTTGACGGGTACCATCAAAAGACAAACCCTGGCAAACCCAAGGAAAAGTCATAAGGAATCCTAGCGCCTCCATGTTCGGGGGTGTAAGCAACAAAGCGGGTCACTGAGAGTATGGAGCCAACATACACATGGGGGTTGATCAATATTCCTGACCCCAAAATGATCATGGATATGTTTCCCATTTGGTGGAAAACATCATGTTTGTTGGTGGATTTCCCCAATAATCATCCCACGTAAAAGAAAGTTTGATCAACCCCCACATGAGCAACTTCGATCTTCGCGTTTCATTCCGGAGACTTTTAGACTTTTCTCCACAGTTGGCACATCATTTATTGCAATTAGACTCGGATTCCCATTTGGAATGAGGGATTCCTGGCGAGTCTCCGGTTACATGTCCTTGAAACATTGAGGGCGGATCCCACCGTGTCTTTGCAATTGATCCGCCGAACTGAATATTGGTGCGCCTCAAAATAGCGGGGCACCAACTAAATGGCACGACTTCCCGGTGGTGTCCCTTTAAAACTAGAAACAAGTTCTCAAAAAGGACCAAACCCATAAGGACCACTGTGATATACAGGGTCCCTCACAGGATACATTTGGGGCCAGTTCACAAATCGACCATACACCAGCTGATTTCGTGGACTTGCATCCCATGCAAACTATGTAGACTGGTAGCTGCATGTGGTTCTGATGTCTTCTTTTTTGGAGGTCGTACGTATCCTACCGGCACCCTGACACGGGTTTCGGTGTTCTTTTGGCTTCCCATCAACACCGCACCGTGCCTTTCGCCCTCAAGAAAGACGCCGCCAGGCCAAAAGAAACGCGATCTTTTTTCATATGGCCATGGGTCCAAATCCAAATCGTACCCGCACCGAACATCCGATTCAATCCAACCACTAAAATAGGTTCTAACATGGGTGGTGCACCTATCCCAAAATGCTACCATTGGTTTTTAACCACAGCCATATGCTTTTGAAAGTCTGGAACAACTCAGAAAATGTGTCCAGTGATAAAAACCATCAGAACATAAAACCAATCTTCTGAAACGCGAATAGGAGTTTTCAAAACCATCACCATGTTTGGGTGGCTCGTCTCTTTTGGAGGACCCGCCCCAAAACCTTCGGTGTTTCTTCCTTTAAAAATACCAAACAATGGGTACCGAAAGCCGTTCGCCTCAGAAAACAATGAGCCACACCCAAAGGGAGAAACTAAGTTGGATACCCTCCCTACAATTCTGGAAGCTGACAGGAGGGTATTGAATCTTGGGGAACCGGTGTCCGATGTTCGCCAACTCGTGACCTGCCGCCAGCAGAATTAAAGGAACCTAAGCCCTTTTTTGATTGACATTTGAGTGTGCGTCAAAATAAGAGACCTCCCAAAATGGGTGTTTTCCTCTTGGCTTCCTGTTGGTAACCCCAAAGAGAGGAGGTGCGGGATTCAAACCTTCGTGGCGTGTGGCTCCTCCCACGCTTTTGGCGCTTTGCCGGAGAATGGATCTTATCCCCAAAGCCTGATACGATTGCTGCACTTCAATGGGTGGTTTGGATTGGTGCTCTGGAGGGGTTTCCCTTGTACCCTCAAAGACAGGGACCTGTTCAAATCTCCAACCTCCGAGCCAATGTGCCGCACTTCCAACATCAGATCGGCACCTCCCACAAACGGGCGAACGCTGCGGAGTCACTTACACGATTCGTGCGCAATCAGCCTGCGCTCTGAATGCAGAGTAAAAATCGGGCCCCTGCAAAACATGCACGGCATGCGCCGCTAGCTTTGACAGGCCCGCTACTTCCTCCGCTTTTGCCATCGCTGTCAAGCTGTTTGTTTCATCCGGTCCAGCACCCAAATCCCTTCCAAAATTCGAGCAACTCCAAGTCTGACTTTGGGGGATCGCCAATTTCAAGTCTGCCCGCGAATGGGATCGACCCTTTGGATGATGGGAGACTCAAGTAAACGCGAAAAACGTCCCGGTCACATGGGTGATCGCAAGAAGTGACCCTCAAACCAACTCTCAGTGACATCAATTGCTTTTTGAATGACTATAGTTGAAATATCAACTGGCAATGGCACCAAGGCAAGTGTCAAAGGCAAACGCGGTGGGAAGTGTAGGCGCCATTCCGGTCTGAAAAACTCCTGGCCTGTTGGCCAGTTGCGGCACTTGAACGGAAGATATCTAATATTCAGCGCCTTAGGAGGGCACGAGGAGCCGAGCCCGTGTCGTCCTGCCGCACACCAGCCCTCCAGCCAGAAAATTTTGGGGATGCCCAGAGCTCGCAAGTTGGCCGCCGGATTGTGGGGGCCGGATTTTGCAACCCTTTGCGGGAGAGATGCAGGTCAGTCCTCCCAAATGATCCTTCCAACGTGATCTTGAGGGAACATGCGGGGGGGGGGGGGGGCAAAATGAAAATGGTGGAGCCCTTGTGTGGTTCTCAGAACCCCAAAGGAAACAACAACCATTTTGGTGTCCCACATCCTATTTTGAGAAACACATGGATATGTGTCAAATAGTGGGACCCCGTCAGAAAGTTGTGGTTTCCCTTTTGTTTGGCTTCCCCCCCCCCCCCAGAAAAAAAGGACACGCCCAAATGGACCCCCGCAACCAACACTTGCTGGTGCTCAGTAAGGAATGACCCAGGGTGTGGGAATCAACCTAGGGATTTCTGTAAAGGAAACCATAGGGGGCGTTCCTATGTTGAGAAACCACGAAACCAGAAGTTCCCGAACGTCCATGCAAAGCCAAAACCAGTCATTTTGACGTATGTGTCAAAATCGGATATGTCAGAGTCAGAGTCAAACCCGGTAGTCAAATGGTCGACCCAGGGTGAAGAATTAGGAAGGCAGCCGCAGCTATTTCTGGTTGGGATTGTTCCTGACTAACCTTCATCTACGCGGGTTTTGATTGCTGCTCATATGGCAACCCCCACAATGGCCAACCGGTTTTCCGTTTTGGCTTCCCTCATCCCAAAGACGTTTCGCCTCAAGACACTCCCAAACCAGGGCTCGTTCTCGAACAGATCTTCGCCAGACTGAGACCTGAAAAAAGGGGCCGTTCTGCGCTGGTAAGCACAGAAACCCCGGCAGGGGTTTCAGAAGGGCGAAAAGGCAAGTTCAGTCTAAGGACTGGTTGGAAGCAAGCGCTGGTAACTGGCAAAAGATATGAACACCCTTTCGGGGTGGAGCATTTGTGACCTAAAACGGACTGGTGAACCCAAACCCGACGCTTTAGGCCTTGCTGTCAAATGATACCGATTCGACAAAAATCAAGAGATGCATCTTGTACAGAACAAAGCGGAAAATTGAGGGAACAGAGCGACAAAGGATTGAACACAAAGGGAACAGAGGGAACAGACAAACTAGCAATTCATGGTACGGACTCGTTCCCTCACCATATCTCCGCTTCCGGGTCCGTCAGAGTCTACGGGGAGTTCTCCTCGAACCTCAAGACCTCACGTGCATCTCCTGGCGTCGAAACGGGACGTGGTCCTAGGGGTGTCAGGGGGCCAACGAGGAATTGGACCGGAAACGGTTTATAAAAGGAACTCGATTGGCCTCTAATCTTCCATTTGCTCAAGTGACGGATTCCCTTAGCAAATGGAAGTAATAGACCCTCTAATATTAGCCCCTATCCCGGGATTGGGGGGGCCTCTAAAACGGGTGCCGTGACAACCAAATGCGGATATGGACCGCAGGTTTGAGTTCCTCGGCCCGTTTTGGGGTTACCCTATGTTTGAGCCAGTTGCAGCCTATGTATGTATGTATGTATGTATGTGTGTGTGTATGTATGTAAGTACGTACGTACGTGTGTATGTATGTACGTGTGCGTGCATGTATGTATGAATGAATGTATGAATGTATGTATGTACGTACTCTCTCCGTCTCTGTCTCTGTCTTTCTCTCGCTCTCTCTTTCTTTCTCTGTCTGTCTGTCTCTCTCTCTCTCTCTCTCCCTCTCTCTTTCTCTCTCCCTCTCTTCGCAACTCTACCTATCTTTGTCTCTGTCTGTCTTGCTCCATCTTCTTCTCTTTCTCTTGATCCTTCTCTCTTTCTCCTTCCTTTTCTCTTTCTGATTGTCTGCCGTCTCTCTCTCTCTCTCTCTCTTTTGGTCTTTGTCTGTCTCTCTCGCTCTCTCCCCCTCTCTCTCTCTCTGTCTCTCTCTCTCTCTCTCTGTTTTGTGTTTTTCTCTATCGCTCTCTCTCTCTCTCTCTCTCGTTAAAATACGTTGGTACTTTACTGCAAGTGCAAGTGTTGTTTCTGTTGTCACAAACACAAATGTAGTTAGCCAGCATGCACTCTTTTCCTGGTAGACTCAAGGCCTGCAGTCGGGTAGTGTACATCATGCATGCACAAGTGACAAGTAGTGCAACATGATATTTGACACGGCCCCTTGGTTAAAAGACCTTGTAGTGTCCTTTAACCATAGACCCAAAAGGTGGTATTGACAGTAGTGGCAAAAACGAATGCACATGTTGTTTGCCGATGCTACTGTAGCGAACAGGCATGTAGTCTCTTAAAAAAAATGACCGAAGGTAGGTATCCACAGCGCTGCTGTCTGTAGTTCAACTAACCTTCAAATGATCAAAAAGTGAAATTGCTGTACAAGAACCCTAAATGGCTCTCAGTCATCTCGTAGTACGATGACGTAGTACAGCACGTAGTTGCAGCTCCACCTAGAGATCAGGTGTGCTTAGTCCAGTGTTGGACTCGGTAGTTCTGAACTTGGCTGATGCGGTAGTCCAAGCCTGCATAGTGGTTGGTAGTGAATGTGTTGAGGAAGTCTGGACCGCCACGGAGGCGGTTGTAGTCGCATTCTGGTGGTGCAAGTGCTTGGCCGGTTGTAGTGAGGTAGTTGTGGAGTAGTAGTTTGTGTTGTGTGGAAAAATTTGTAGCCGTGAGGAGGGTGATGCCGTAGTAGGTGACACTTTTGTGTAGCATCGTGTTGATGGACTTGTAGTGATGGTCTTGAAGTTGTTGTGGTTGGTCGAAGTAGTTGAGTAGCTCTGGTAGGTACAGGGGCATGTGGTAGTTCCAAATGAAGTTGTTGGACAGGTTGAATGTAGTGGTGATCTGGTCCAACTTATATTCGGTGTAGTCGTTGATGTAGCTGGCGTGTAGGTAGGTGGTGCTCGTCTTTGATTGAGATCATGTGGCTCACGTAGTCGCGGCAGAAGTTGATGAGTTGTCCAGCACTGACAAATCGTAGTAGAACTTCTGGTGGAATGTAGTTGGATGATGACCATCGAGTTGGTGTACTGAGTTGTGAGGTGTAGTGATGTTAGGTTGTAGTAGTAGAAGTTGACTGCCTCTGAAAGACGTAGGTGAAGAGGTGGTGAGTCGTAGTGTGGCATCCGTAGGTCTGAACGTAGGTCGTGAACTGGTAGGTTGTAGTTGAGCTCGGGGATGGGTGTAGTTTGTTGTTGACTTAGTAGTTGGAACTCCTCGAGCGTCAAAGCCACGTAGGCCCTGAAGTAGTTCTGCTCCGGGTCGATCGCTGGAGTGTCAGGGATGTTGTTCTCAATTGTAGTGAGGTGTGCCAAGATGTCGTCGGGTCTGTAGAAAGGTGCCGGTGTGGGTAGTTGGTGATTGAAGTTGTAGTTGAGGGAGTTGTAGGCCTCAGGTGGTGGTGTGGCCAAAGTAGCCATGCTGCTGGAGTCGGTAGTGCCCTGCCGATCCGGTGGTGTGAAAACACGGTCCGGTGTAGTACTGCCAGCCTGTTGTTCGACGGGCAGAGTAGTCTCTGGCGCTGATGTAGTAACCTCCATCGGCATGACATCCAGCGTAGTCGCATCCATGGGCGTAGTTCCAGCCATTGCTGGTAGTTCGGCCTATCGAGATGCAGTGAAACGGGGCAGACAGTAGTGAGCCAATGTTAGCTCACAAAAGCACATGCGGGCATGTAGTAAAACACAAAACAACATGTAGTGTTGACTCAAGCCGCCAAAAGCCGCCAAAAGTGCAAGTGCAAATTACTGGTGGTTACAATTACTATTACTTGTAGTCACTGTTACTGTTACTGTTACTTAAATGCAGGTAGTTACATATGGCCATATACAAACTGTTGTTGTTGATGTGCAACAGTTGTGAAACAGTTGTTGTTCGTAGTGCTAAACACGTATGCCAATGCTCTGTATGAGCCTCTGTAGTGTTTCTTTGCTGATGTATTTTGTGAACACGTCTGAGCTGTTGTGTAGTGTGTTGATTTTGAGGATTCTGATGATGTCGTGCTTGATGAGGTCTTGTGTGTAGAGAAATTTAAGGTCGATGTGTTTTGCTCGTTTGCTAGTGCCTTGTCGTGTAGCAATGCTCTTGCCTGCTGTGGAGTCTGTGTGGATGCGTAGATTTAGCTTGCTGCAAATGTTGGTTTCAAGTAGGAAGTTTCTGAGGTGTAGTCCCTCATTAACTCCTGTGCAAATGGCGTAGAGTTCAGACTCTGCTGAGCTGAGTGCTATTGTAGCTTGTGTTCTGCTGCCAAATGCAACTGTTGTTCCTAAAAAGATGATGTTGAAACCTGAAGTTGATTTCCTGGTAGTAGGGCATCCTGCCCAGTCGGCATCGACATGAACGTCGAGATCCAGGATGTTGTTGGTGTTTGCTCTGAGTGTTGTTGTTGGTTCTATGGTGAATTTGTAGTGCTTGGTGCCGTGCAAGTAGCGTAGTAGATGTTTGACTCTCTTTTGTGAAAGTTCTGTAGGTGCTGTGAGGTCTCGTGCTAGTTCTTTTGTGGAGTATGCAATGTCTGGTCGTGTGTATGCTAACCATTGAAGTTTGCCAACAATCCTTCTGTACCTTTTGTGTTGTTCGTGGTCAAGTAGTGCTTCATCTTCTATTGTTGGTTTGTAGTGTGCAATTCCTGGAGTGTTCACTGAGTTGCAGTTGTTCATTCCAGACTCCTCGATCATGTTGTCGATGTAGGAGTCCTTTAGTCCCAGGTTGCAGTAGTTGCCAAAGTGGTCGATGTTTCTTCCAAGAAATTGTTGTGGTTTGCCAGGTTCGAGGTAGCCGATGTGCTTGAGTAGGACCTGCTTCTGGATGGCCTCGAAGGTGGAGTCGACAGTAGTCTTGTCACCAAGTACCAAGAGATCATCCACGTAGACCATGATGTAGCAGTCGCGAGTCGCATTGGTGTAGACGTTAGGTTCTGACTTTAGTCTTACAAAGCTGAGCTTTTGTAACACTTCAGCCAGGTAGTCCTGCCATGCTTTTGGTGAACTGCGTAGTCCATACATGGCTTTCTTTAGTCGCCAGATTTTGTCCTGTTGTGGACAAAGTTCTTTAGGTGGCCAAAGGTAGACGTCACGTTGTTTACCGTCGTGGTCTTTTGCGATGGGTGCGTGTAGAAATGCTGTAGAGACGTCACCTAGTCGCGCTATCCAGTTTGGTCGTGACATTTGTAGTGCGAGAAGTGTCCGGAGTGTCGTGAACATTGGTGTAGAGGCGTAGACGGAGTCTTCGTCCTCGATCTTCTCGGTGTAGCCTTTTGCGACGATTCGGCTTCGTACTCCTGGTCCTTTCTTTCTGTGTACCCATCTTGTAGGTATCGCTTCTCTGATGACGTTGTCGTCGACGGTAGACGCATCTACTTCGTCGTAGACGTCATGTAGCTTCATTTGATTTGACTCGTGTTTCATTCCTTCCAGTAGTTGTGTTTCGTCGTAACCTTCGTTGTCGAAGATTATGGGTTGGTCTTCTGAGGTGTCGTCGTTTGTGTAGGGTGTGATGAAGTTGCCGTTGGGAAGTGTCACTGCGTTAAGTTTCTGTCGTAGTGGTGGTGGTTCTTTGGTTGCTTGCTCCGTTGATCTGATTGTAGTGTCCTTTGAGGTCTTCTGTGCTTTAGTGGGTTGCATTACTTCTTCCGGAGTTAAACGTCGTAGTGTTTGTCGAGGTGGTGCTGGTAGTGGTGGATGTTGTCGTCCGGTTGGTGAAGTAGCCATCGGACTATCCGGTAGTGGTCGTGTGAACTTGACGTCGATGTTGACGGAAGTCGTGGAGGTGGTGTGGTGCGTTGTTGCTTTGTTGCGGGTTCCGCAACGATGTCGTCCGTAGCGTTCGTTTGTTGTCCGAAACCTTGCGTGGACCTTCTTTTCTCTGACGGTGGTAGTTGCGCATCCAACACTGTTGCGAACGATGGGTTGTAGGTGTTCCGTCGTGGCGCCCACGGTGTGCCGGAAACTTTGTTCAATAGTGCGAGGTCGTATTTGAAGTCCGGTTGTAGTCTCCGCACTGTTCGTACCGTTTGTACGCCTGATTCTGTTGCGACGTAGTTTTCTCCGGTTTCGGAAACTTTTCCGAGCCAGATGCATTTCTGCATCCGTAGGTCTGCTTGTGGTGGAAGGTAGAGTAGTGTCTCGCCAAATTCGCAGATTGCTCGCTCGTAGTTTCTTCCCCAGCGGCGTTCAAAGCTTGTGTAGCCGTCTGAGTGGATGACGTAGCGATTTACCGTCCATGCTGCATGTCGTACTATCCAAGGTAGTAGACAGTGCTTTGTGGACATCGTCATGCTGTAGTTGCTTTCAACCTGAGCTTTGACGACGCGGATTTGTCCGAGGAGTGTTCTATGTAGTCGCTCAACGCTTCCTTGACTGTTGCTGCTGTAGGACGGTGAATGTCGTACAGTCATTGAGCCGACTTTAGATGCTGTTGCTTGTAGTAGTGCATTGAGTGTGTCTTCGTTGTCGCTTTGTAGTATGCCGTGTGTTCTTCCGCATTCAAAGATGAATGCTTGTAGGTTGTTGATCATGTAGTCCATCATCGATGGTTTGTCCGGAACCAATACCGCCATGCACAGTTGTGTAGTAACATCAACTGCCGTTAAGACTGGTATGGTCTTCGGATCTTGTTGTGATTTGATGTAGGCAAAACCCACTTGGATGATGGGTTGTCGTGATTGTTGTTTCTTGTAGTTGTCCTGGCGTCCTTTGCCTTGAACGCAAATTGGACACCAATTTCTGTATGGTAGGTGTGTCAAGTTGTGTTCTGCTATTTGTTGTGGAGTGGGCTGCTGAGGTTGTCGTAGTCCTATTGCTCTGTGTGCTTCATGATGCTCGTGTTGTTGTTCCTCATCGTGGTTCTCCTGGATGTACTCGTAGTCTTTCTTCACGGTGAACCTTGTTGTTCCTTTCCATTGAAATGGTAGTGCTGCGTTGCCCATGACTGTCCAGTCATCTTTGCGTTGTGAAACTTCTCCAAAGTTGTTGTGAGTGATTGTAGTTCTGTGAGGTTCAAGTGTGTTGATTGGTGGATGTCCTGGTCCATCTGTTGGAGTGAATAGGGTTGTTCTAAGTGTTGTGTGGTGTCTTATCCAGTGTTCACCTTGTCTTTCCCAGTAGTCTTGGTTGTCCTCCTGTGCTGTGAGTGGTCTGTGGATTGTCTCCTTTGGTTGTGCGGTGTCAAGATTGGTAGAAGGTGCTGCTTTAGGTCTCCATATCTTTTGTGGTGCTCGTAGTTGGATCTTTGATCTGGTTGGTGGTGTGTCCATTAGCCGTTGTGGTTGTGAGCTCTGCCTTGTTGGTGTTGTCTTTGATGTTGCTCTGCGTGTAGGTGTTATCTTTCTTCTGAATCTGGTTTCTCCAGTCCAGTTGTCACCTTCTAGTCTTCGTTGTAGTTCTTGCTTGGAAAGTTGTGTTGGGTTCTCTTGTAGTTGTTCTTGCTCTTGCCCTTGTCTGTTGATGATGGTTAGTCGCCAATCATCTAGTTCTCCTTCAGGTATTGGGCAGCCGCTGTTGTGTGGTGTGAATAGTGCTTTGCGTGGTCGTTTGTGTACTCTGATGGCGTAGTCACCATCAAGTTTCCAGTAGTCAGTGTTTCCACCAAGGATCTGTCGTAGTCCTTGGTCTGTGTGGGTGAGTGGTGCGATTTGTTCTTGTTGTTGTACTGCTTTCTCTGTAGGTTGAATCACAGCAATGGATTTTCCATTGTATGTAGTCATTGGGTAGATGTCGAATCCAGTAGGGATGTCGATCTTCTCTGCTCGTAGGTAGAAAAGTCCTGAGTGTCTTATGAGGTGTGCTTGTTGTTGTCCATGTGTGATGGTGCAGTGTCGTGGGGTGAAGTCAAGTCCATATCCTCTATCAAGTAGTCTTGATGCACTGAGGATTGGATACTTCACATCACAAACGTAGTAGGGCATCATGATCCAAGGTCGTAGCGGTAGGTCTGGTGCGTAGTCCTTCGGGCAAACATGTGTAGATGCTCCTGAGTCGATCAACAGGTGGTGGTATGACTTGAAATTGGAATACATGATGTAGTGTGTGATAGTGTCCTCAATCTTCTTGTTCCTTTGCGGTTGTCTTGCTGCTGCTATGTCAAAGTGTGGCTGTGTGTTGTCTTCTTGTAGGAATTGTTGAAAGCTCTTGCTGTGGTCGTTCCATGATGTTGTGTGTGTTGTTCTCTTGCCAAGTAGTGATTTGGATTTGTGCTTGTGTAGTCGTGAGTTTGCTTGTCTGATGTGTCCAATGGTGAGGTGTGACTCGTTGATGCCTCCAATGTAGTTTGCTGTGTCCTCATAGCTGTTGTCATTCCAATCCCAGCTGTTGTCATAGTCGTAGTCGTTCCAGTTCTCCTCCATGTAGTTCACCTCGTGTTGTCCTTCTTCTCCTTCGTAGTACCAGTCCCAGGTGTCGTTCACATCCTGAGGTAGTTCTTCATTGTTGTCATGATCTGCTTGTTCATTTTCTATTGGATGTAGTTCTTCTCCTTCTCCTATGTGCCATACTGGCACTCTGCAGTCTTGTGCCCAGTGGCCGGGCTTGCCACATCGATGGCATGTTGTGTAGTTGTTGTTTCCTTTCCCTTTTGATTTGCTGTGGTTTCC